ACGCTCTGGGCCAACAGCCGTTCCTCTGTAGCCCACCTGTAGTAACCAGAAGTTATTCAAGGTCCTAGCTTAAATCTGTGTGGTTTAGATCCCATTTTGGGGGCGATGCTCTTTCCTGGACTCGTGTTGTAGCCAGTCTGCAGAGCAACTTCTCTGTGCCAAGTGACAGAAGCTCTTCGGTCCCTGACAGCAACACGCTCAGATAATATTCAGGCAGGAGAAGATGTAGTTACTTGTTACCACTCTCATCTTTTTTGTACCTTCGATGTTTTATAATGGGTTCTTAAATTCATAGTGGGAAGTTACCTGATCCTCAGAGCTATAGAAAAGCCTTGATAAATCTTTGCATAATTAGAAGCAAAATTCTTTTATAGCTGGTCTTGGGTTTGTGCCACATGCGTTTTTAGCAGAGGCTTACTGCAAGCTGATACCTGATAAAAGCACAGAAGTCTGTCTCCTCTAAGAGTGTATCTATAAAGCACCTTAACCGCCAGTAGCCCATGTTTCTCTCTGTGGCCCAGGTCACCCGAGAACAGACGGCGCTGCAGAACGCAGCAACCGTCATCCCGGCCGTGGTCAGGGCGCACCTGGGGCTCGGCTCACACACACAGCACCTCGGTGACCACAAGACAGCGAGTCGTGAGGGAAGGCAGCTCGGAGCTTTCACTTTTCCCTGGGCAGAGGAAGCCCAGAATAAACAGCAAAGCCCTCTGAGACAGGTCTAAGTAGAGCTCAGGGATTAACAGTAAAGTCCCTCGTCCTCCGAAGCGCGTCCTTTAGTATTGGCAAAACAAGCTAATGGTCTCAATGCTTTTTCCCTTGTTTTGACTTTCTTTTCTGTTGGCTTTTTCTCCCAGCTGTTCCAGGGATGTGGTAGACCAACACCGAAGCTAAATCTCGTATCTCATGCAGAGAGGACTTCAGCTAGGTTTTTGTTTTACAGGCACGAATGCCTTAGCGTGGCTGTCTGGTTTAGCAGTTAACTGCCACTTTCCTATTCCGCGTGGAGTGTTTTGCAGTTCAACTTAATGTCTTATAAAGACAGGTTGTTTCATTAAGGGCTAACTTGTCCAACCCAATTTCGATGCTTTTGTTTCAGGGTAATGTAATGCGCTTTTTTTTTTTTTTTTTTTTTTTTTTTTTTTTTTTCAAATTCCTGAAGCAGGGAGAAAATGGATACAGAGGGACAAAGTAAGCCAGTAACCTTTAGCAAAGACAAAAAAGGATTCTTTGCAATCTGTGCTGTTATTATAGAAATGAAAAAAATATACTGGGAGCTATGCGTTGTTCTCAAGATAGCACAGGGCCCAGGTGGGCTTTGAGCTATGGAAATCCAGCTCAGAGTAACGTGGCTCTGCTGAGTCACAGAAGTTTTTTTCGGAAGTTGCTTGAACAGATCGTAGTGAGAGATGTGGGTTTCAGGATATCTAGGATAATATGTTGAAAATACTGGGAGCCTGCGAGCGTCCTACCAGTCCTTGGTGAGAAAAAACACTGGAGCCAGGGAGTTTTAAGGCAGGAAGCTTGATGGAAACGTGCCAACTAAGTTATGCCCAGGATTAAGATGAGCTTAAGTGATTTGTGTATTTTTATCTGGGTATGTGCAGCCTTCATTCTGGCATCAGTGGCAGTTAGGCAGTACTGTTGTGTGCAGGGGTGATTCAGGGCCTTTCCTAGCTCTGAAACAAATTGGAAATTTAGGTATTTTCCAACCTAATCTTTACAAATTAAGAGTTTTGTGTCTCCAGGCGCCTTTGATCTTTCCACCTCAGGCTTGCCTCCAAGCAACAGAAGTAGGTATAGCTGCAGTTTCAGGATCTGATTTGCAAAAGTTGCAATCTGTGTGAGATGCAGTTCTAGCAGGAGAGGGGCAGGGAGCCATAGGATATCCTCTGCGTGGATTGAGAACCACCTTTCCTGCTGGTAAAATTCACAGCAATTGTTTGGAAGCAATGCTGCTGTTGCCTAGCCTCACGCCATCCCTCTCTGGCTGTACATACTTTCTTGCATAGATGGGCATTTTTTATCCTGTTCTCTCCAGGCAGTCGCCCTTTAAATACGGCAGTTAGGTGTTTCGTGCTTATTTCTCCTACTTTGAGCTGCGCTCAAAAAATCATAAAAGCTCTGCTATTCCTGCACCACATTCTGAACGGCATACGTTACAATCTCCATGCTCAGCACTCTTTTTTGGAAATGGTTTGACAATAAATGCCTGTGAGCGCTCTCTGACTGAAGGCAGTGAATATCTAATCTAGACTTCCTTTTCCAGGTATTACCCATGCCTGCTGCCGGTTGTTTCAGAGTCCTGTGAGAATGCTGTGCTACACAGGTACCCTCTGTGCTTGTCAGCCAGCCCGTGCAGTCTCCTGGAAGCCTTAGATTTAGTTCCTTTGTAGTCTCCTTGTCTTGTGTCGGAGGCCGGGTAATTGCTGCAGGCTCCTGGTTAGCAATCCCCATAAGCTGTGAGTTCTGAGAAGTCCTCCCCCTCTGCTACTACCTGCCCTACACGTAGTGTAGAAAACAGCCGGAGGCTCAGGTATTTCCCTCTTCTCTGACTGTGACATTTCTCTCCAACGCGTGGGTCACACTTGCTTTCTTGAGACGCGAATTCATCCCTCGCATCTGGCTGTGATAACGTCTCAGAGGAACAAGCTGCTATTGTCTAACTCCTTTGTGTATTCAGAGTTGTGGAGCTGGGAGGGTCTGAGGGAGGCAGCGTAACTGCGCTGGATCTGGACTAGTTGGTAACATGTTTTCTTGGTTCAGCCAAAATGAACTGGGGAGTCATGTAAGGCAATAGGAAGTAGTTTCTTACCTGCAGGAACCGACCCGAGTGGAGCTGTGATAGAGTACTCATGCTGGTAAGTGCTGTGGAACCTGGTATCCCCTTTGCTCTGGTTCTTTTGACAAATAACATATTAAGGAGTTAGTACAAGCAGTGATTTAGTCTTTCCTGAGTGGTGAATATAATCCAGGGAGTTTCATTACATTTAGGAAAAGATTCTCTGTCCGCAGCAAGCAGATGAGGGTTCTTTATTTTTTCCATGCCTTGAGCTGGAAGGTTTAAGAGACCACAAGACATCCAGAGCAGCAATACTGAGACGCAGCCGCTGCTGGAGCGAGGATCTGGAAATCAGCCAGCGTATGTCGTCCTACTGCAAAACAGGCAGATCCTGCTTTTCATAAGTTATGAAAGTGTTGGATAGTATTGAGTGAAAACTTGCTGAAAATACAAGATGGGCAAGTTAGTTTGATGATCTCTGCCCGAGTAGTGCTACATCGCAGCTGTATTTGGGATGGGAGCTGCTAAGTGAAATGAGTGTTAAATACACATCTTGGGCAGATCTTCCCTCTGGTTTACAGTCTTCTGAAAAATCTGTATTGTCTATATTACTGTGGTTTCCTTAAGAAGTAGGAAGGTCAGAGCACATCCTGCCAGGTAGGGTGAAGTGAGCAGCCTCTCCTAGGGGGTCAGATTTCTTTCGGATATGCACAGATTTCTTTACCAGTGACTGGATGCTCATATGTCTCTGTTTCCCCTCTAGGTTTAACTGGAGTGAACTGATCCCTCTGCGGTTATGGGGGAGGACCCTAGGCTTGCAGACAGAGAACTCACAGTTCCTGCTGGAAGGAATGCCTTTCCGCATCTTCGGGGGTTCGATGCACTATTTCCGAGTCCCCAGGGAATACTGGGAAGACCGCATGCTTAAGATGAAAGCATGTGGCTTAAACACCCTCACAACGTAAGTGTCCCCGCTCCCTCGGCTCTGTCACACATGCCTTGTAACCTCTCCCCTCTTCCACAGAAGTTGGTAGGACTTTGTTAGTTCCAGTGGGCCGTAACAATGTCTGCCTGTACTTGTTGTTATGAGAAAAGGGTAGACTCAGGTTTTCTTTAACCATCATATGCTGCAGTATCCTCAAATACTGAGACAGATGTCTGTCAGATCTTTGGGACAAAGTGCCTTCGTAATGCTGGCTGGGTGGGGAAGGGTCTGGTGCTGAAACAGCTTTTCAGCACGGCTGTGATTTAGAAATTGCTCTGGTTTGGAAAATGAAAGTTATACCTAGAGAGCAACCACGTATGACGGTCTTGTGGAACTCGGATATTGCAGAGTACAGGAGAGAGTGCAACGAAGTAAGGACTTGTCAGAAAAATGAAAGAAAGCCACAAAATAACATTCAAATAAACACTTGTAATCTGTACATGCAGTAATCTCTGCATCTGTTACCGACTAACAAAGGGACAGCAGAGGCTTTTTTCTGCGCGTCACAACCACAGAGCCCTTTTCAGCCCTTGACCTCCTTTGCTCTAACTCTGCATTTCAGGTACGTGCCGTGGAACCTCCATGAGCAAGAAAGAGGGAAGTTTGACTTCAGTCAAAACCTGGATCTAGAGTATGTGGTACAGACAGCTCTATTATTAAATACTCCTGTTTTGAGGGGAGGGGGTGTGTGTTGGTTCGGGATGAAGATGTTTCTGAAGCAAAGCCTGTGCCTTGACCAGGCAATGGAGACTCATTCCTTCCCCTACTTGCTGGAGTCCTGGGGACTTACAGATTTAATACTAGTTGCTAGATCCAGTCTAGTTGCTTCATCCCGCAATCCTCTTCTGGTTTTGGTACTGAAATTTCACAGTGATTGGTGTATTAGGAGCACATGGTGTGGGGATTCTGCAGTCAGACAATAATGACACTGTCTGGATCTCTAGGGCCTTCCTTTCACTGGCAGCTAAAAACGGACTGTGGGTGATTCTGCGTCCTGGACCCTACATCTGCTCCGAATGGGACCTCGGTGGCCTGCCCAGGTCAGTGTGTAAATAGTGCAGTTGAGGCAAGCGTTTGAGACTGGGGAAATAAAACAGAGCAAAACCCCTGATCGTACCGTTGAGCCTCCTTCAGAGATTTAGTGTGTCTGGCTGTTAGATGGGAATATTTATCTTCTGTCTCCCCAAAGCGGGTGAATACTTATTATGTTACTGAGCTCTCCTAAGCAGCACAGATAGTAAGCCCGCAACCAGAATTTTTTTTGAGTGGTTATTCTTCAAAATAATAATTGTGTTGTGGCATAATGGTGATAGCAAGAAGATTGAATTGGGGAAACCCAGTTTTCTCAGTGTAATACAAATAGTAGTATTTGCAGCTTGATGTAAAAATTTGCTTCATCTCAGGTCCATTTTAGAAGCCCTGCTAGAACATATGTATTTTATGGCTGGCAGTAATAAAGACCCATCACTTTTCTGGCCTGCGAGTAAGAGGCCTTGAGAGCCCAGTTGAACACACCAGCACTGAGGCTTGCCTGGTTACTAGTTCCCAGTGGAACCAGTGCCATGTTACACACCACTTGTTGCTCTTACCTTCACAGAGCGTAAGCCTCAGCGGAGACACTCGACAATATTTGGGGATTATTTATTTTAATCTTTTATATTTTCCAGCATGCCTTTGGCATCAGAGGGTTCGGGTGCAGCACTGTGAAGGTGTATCAGGGACTTGCTCACGAGAGCGTGGCTACTTGTGACCAGAGGCAGTAGCTCACTCTACATCAGGTTATGAGAAGTTATTGTCAGTTGTTCCACAACACCCACATACATTTTTTTTATTAGATAAAAGATGCTGATAAAGAGCAACAGTACTATTCTCATTTTACAGATAGAGGATGATTTTGTAAGCCCATTGAGCTGCATGTAGCATATAGGAGTCGAGTCCTTCAGCCCTCTGGAATCACTGTTAGTTAACACTCCCTTTTGCAGAGACAAGGAAGATACAAGCTCACTCTGCTTGAATTGTTACAGCACTACGTTGTTCTGCTCTTAAACAAATTGCTCTTTTCCGTGTTAACCCCAAACCATCAAACTGTGTCTTGTAAATCAGCAGTAGAAAGCATGGGAACAATTACCAGAAGCTTTGTTTTGAGCGATGATTGGGGTTTTATGAGGGAGTGCTTGGTTGTAGAGTGCCCTTGGGGATGCAGGGAATTCCAGAGTAACCTTTAGAGTGGTAAGTTTAGCCCTTGAAATCTGACTGGGAGAGTTAATGGAATGAGCTTAGGCCCCAAATACAGAACAAAAAGAAGGGGAACAGCTTGGCAGTTGCAGCCTGGGCTCGTTTGGAGGTGTGTGGTAGATTATCCTCACGTGGTGTCCTGCACCGACTCGCCATGTCCGTACCCACGCTGACAGATGAGTGATTCCTGCCCAGCTGTGACTCCATGCTGGTGGCTGGGGGTGCCTCTGGCAGCCTTGACTGGACAGGAGACTCAGATTCTGTTTGCTGCTTTTCTCATAGTTGGCTCCTGCAAGATCCAGAGATGCAACTGAGGACAACGTACAAGGGCTTCACAGAAGCTGTGGATGCCTATTTTGATCACCTAATGCCTGTTGTCGTCCCTCTTCAGGCAAGTACAATCCCTCACCCACAGGTGGGGACTGTTTGCACTGTGAGCTGTGTGTAACAGCAGCAGGTCGAGGCAATAACAAACCTACCAGCTTCGCTTTAGGAAGCAGTATGGAGTGAAGTTGTCTGTGTCAGCAGTCCAGATCTGTCTGTCTGGTTATGCATAGACTTGGGAGGGAGAGAGGGTGGAACTGAGTCCATCGGAGACCTGTGCATTACATTCCTGCAAGCCAGTGCCCCTGTGATGGCATTCTCTGGTTAGAAATCATGGTGAACAACTTCTCCTTTTTGTTCCCAACAGTACAAGAAAGGAGGTCCCATCATTGCAGTGCAAGTGGAGAATGAATACGGTTCCTATGCCAAAGACCCAAACTACATGTCCTATGTTAAAATGGTAATGTTGTCACGTTTACTTGTTTCTGTGGTGAATCCTTCTCTTAAACCACCTTCCTTATAGTATTTTCTTTCTTCTGAATAATTTTCGAGCATAGCTTCAGAAACCCTTGAAAACGTCAGTGCATAATCTGGCTGCATTTCCCTTGATGCTTCCTCCTGGAGTGGAAGAGATGGCATATGACCCTCTCAACACTGATAAGCCCATGTTCTTCCAGAGAAGAGGGTGACAGGGAAGTGGGGGAGTATCTGTAAAACATAGCTGGCCTTGAAGAAGCTCTCTCCTGCTGGTCCTGTTCTGCTTCTCTTAGATGACATTAGAGAAGGGTCTCTCTTAGTCCTTGTTGACTTTCCTGGGAGGAAGGTTTAGGTGAACAAGCCACCAGCACTCTCCTAAACCTGTGTAATCTGGAGCTCGGCATCAGGTGAGTTAACTTGCCTAATGCCTCCCTTATTCTTGTCAAACAGAGACTAGACTCTGCCCTGGCTCCTGCCTCTGCACTGAATGGTAATGACTTGGCCAGTGCCCAGAGAGACCAGGGTATCCTGGTGGATCTAACGTGCATCTGACCTGTTCGTTTGCCCCCAGTACAATTGCAAGGCAGACAGTTAACAGGATCTGCAGTGTGTCTTACAAGGGTCCTTGTTTAATTTCTTCTCACTGAACGCTTTAAAGTGCTGCTGCACTTGAGAGAGGTCACCCATCCAGTGGTGTGTACGTGCTGTCGAGTGTATGTTCCCTGCTTTTTTGCTACAGCATTATCAGATCCTTTGGAAACTCTTAGGGTACACCAGCTTCTCCCTGAGGATTGCTCAGGTTGTCCCACTGCTCAAGGTATAGAGAAACTCTTCAACCAAATAAGTTGTGTGGCAGGAATCCTAATCTGCTTAGAGCAGTGCCTGCTCCTGAACTAACTCCATCTCCTGGAGTGATTTAACACGGCTTAGAAGGTTAAATATGAAGTATACACATGAACAAGTTAGAGAGTTAATTGCCAGTCTGAACTAGTAATGTCAAATTTGTTTTATCTACGTAGTTTCCCTCCCTGTGTCCCACCAGTGCCAAGCATATAAGCGAACAGCTTTGGGAGCCCTAAACGAATGGGGCACAGGGACTCTGTTGTGTCTGAGCAGCGTGTTGACTCTGTGCTTGCTTTTCCATATCTCAGAGATGAAAGAGCTTGTGATGTTTTACAGACTTGTCAGGACAGATTTCTTTGCTGGTGTGTGGTTGCAGTGCTGTTTAGTCATATTCAGGTATTGTGTGCAACTCACACCTGAGGAAATAGAGCGGTTAAAGGTGAAAATGTGGGAAAGCAGGATTTGCAGGGCTTCCTTTCTTGGTTGGAGTGGGATCTAATGCGAGGTGGAGCTCCTAGTCTTTGTTCTGGTTTGGGCCTTGAGCTTTGAGTGTGGCGAGTTGGTTACTTCGATCTGCCTCTGGCATGTGTGATAACATTGCAATTCTTCCTGGAATTAATATACCCATTAAAACCCCCACAACTCACACAAAACCAGAAATCCCTGTCCTTATCTCCCTCTTGTGGGTGCAGTGCCTTTGCCTTCCAAAACGTGAAGGCTGTGAAAGGGTGTATTGACACCTCCCTCCCCACACAGGGCATGAGCTGGGATTAGCTGAGCACACACCTGTGTCTGCCTCAGACGCTGTTTCTATTCCTGGTTTCTCTGCTGCACCCTGAAATCCTGTAATGCATTCCAATGTGTGCCAGCTCTCTGCCGTTTCTCCATTTTGCACTTATATTCAAAAGGAGGGAAGAAACTTACTGTTAATGCAGTGCTCAAAGAATCGTCTTAATAAAATTCATTAGAAATTCCAGTTCCCCCAGTAGCTGAATTTTGTCAGATTCCAGCCTCTGCTCAGGTATTGATTTAGTGATGATAGGTTGGTAAATTAACCAGGTTGTCTTAACGGTGGGTTTGCCTTTAAACTCTGAGTTGTAATGCTTCTCTAATGGAGCCTGTGTGTGCTGCTCAGATCTGCTCGTTGTTCCCAGGGTGTGCGGGCCTGTGCGATACACAGAGGTTTCTTTAAACACTCAGCAGACCCTAACTAGTTGGGGCATGACACTGGTGACTCCTGTGTGAGCTGGTTTATCAGCATTTTAGAGTTAGTAATTTAGAACCAAGAGACGGAAGGTTTGTTTTCAAAGCTCCTTGAAGATGAAGGAGTGACTTCCAATGCAGACAGTGAAAAGAGGGGTTAATTTGCAACTCGGATTTCCTAATCTCTCCTTCAAACATTAGCTGCTGTTGTGTAAAAAAACCCCAACTATAAGGGAACAATCCTAATGGGAAGGACCTTGTGTGTGCATACGCATTTAAGAAACCTTAGAGTGCTATTTTGTACAGTGCTTTGCTACCGAAGAACCAGTAAATTCATTCAGACTTGACTGTTCAAGAACATGGGTACCTGAGCTGTCCTGTCCTGTGATGGCATTCACGGGCAAACCAGCTATTTTCCCCTTTCAGCTTCCATTGTGAGACAGTCAGGAAGGGTGAGCTGCTTTTCTTTGTCTTCTTCCACCTGAAGTCCTCTTTTGATGGGAAGCAGTGAAGCTATTTATTAAACTGATCTCAGAAGAGGAAGATAAAATCCTGAAGTTTCATGCATCAGTGAAAAAACTGATCCAGCTTTGTCAAATAAAATAAGATTTTTCAGTTGTCTTTAAGCTGGAAAAAGGAGGCAGGGAAGCTTCAGGAGGAATGGGAGATGTCACAGGAATAATATTTCTTACCAAGGCACTGCCAGTTTCAGGCTATCCCCAGAGAAGGTGATAATGTACTTTAGTGCTTTAATATCCTGACAAATACTAAACTGGGGTTGTTAACACAATGGCTTTTCCTCTCTTTAATTTAGGCCCTGTTAAACAGAGGGATTGTAGAACTGTTAATGACCTCTGACAACAAGAACGGGCTGTCGTTTGGCTTGGTGGAAGGAGGTATGTGCTTGTAGGAGAGCCAGGTAAGATGCTCTTTGTCTGGGGCAGCTGATGAAATGCAGCCTTTGAAGGAGAGCAGTGCGCTTTGTTCACCACGCTGCACCTGTTATCTGTGTTCTGGTTTGGGGAAGGATGGCTGGTATAACACACAGAACAAACCCAGTCCCTTCCCAAAAAGGTTTAGAGATTTTTTTTTTTTTTTGACATAAGGTGTAACACGGTGACAGCAGGGTTGCTCCATGGGGAGGCAGTCCCTCTGCTTGCAAGGACGTTAAGTGTGTGCAGACTAAAATACCTTGCTGCCTTCTGTCTGGTATTGGGCATCTACTTCCCAATGAGGTTAGTCAAGAGATGGCAGCACCTAGCATTGCTTGATGTTTTTTTCCACCAGATTCAAAGGCTGAAAATACTACTTCTTATTGCTTCATTACCATAGATATTAAACAAGTACCTCAGCAATTACCAATGGTAATAACTTATTCCTAAGATACCTGCTTTCCAATTAAAAAGATAAGAAAAAAAAAGTCCATCAAAACCTTGAAATCTAATATTCTGTAAATTTAGCAGTAGTTTGCAGGGCAGCCCTGTCTTCTCAGCAAGCTTGCTCTGGGGTGTACAGCCCGTGGTAGGGAGGTAAAGGAGGGCATTAGATGTGCATGATGCAAAAGGATGTCCATTTTCCCTTTTCCTTGTAAAAACTGTAATCTGTTCGGTGTTTTAAAATGCTCTTTAGCACCCCTCCTGGTTTTCACTGTGAGGAAATGGAGGTACAGCTGTTTGAGTTTCACTGTGCCCTAAATCTGACTGGTTGGGGCATAGCGTGATACTGATTTTCAGCTTTCCAGATCCAGTTCAACTGAGATTTATTACGTATTTGGCCTCTGATCTCTCCTGTGTTCCTGCCAGTTGCCTGCTTGAGTAGTAATTGCTTCCCTGAATGAAGTGTTTGCCGGGTGCAGTCTTTGAGTGCTCCTGTCATCACTCAGTCGTAAATACTGTTAATTTTCTAATCTCAGGGATGGAGATGATTAAAGGGAAAAGACTTTCTCAGACAGTATGAGCGGGACAAATTCAGTAACTCTGTGGGCCTTCACCACTACAGTGGTCTTCTCAGCTGTATTTTTTTGGTGTGCAGCCTTTTCCAGCCTTGACCACATAGAGTCACTCTCTCCCTGCCAGCAGCCCGACATGCTGAAGGGCTGTTGTGGGAACGCCTGTCTTAGCTCTCACCATCTTTGGAGGGAAGGAATATCTCCTGCCTCCGAGCTCCTTCTTGTTTGCAGTTGTCTTTTCCAGCATGTCGCATGTTGAGAGCTCTTTGATACCAATTTGCCTTTTAGATGTCATAACAATCTGCTCATTAGAGTCAACATGTCAAGTAATCAGAGGTGTGGAATTACTAGGGCTCAAAGCGGTATAGCGGCAAGGTGGTTAATGAAAGCCCTAAAAGAGAGAGAACAAAATCCACTGTAGAAACGCTAAGGAAATAGAGAGAAGACCCCATACTGGAGCTGGAAACGAATGCAGTGATTCTGTGGTTTTCTTTATTCTGTTCATCAGCAGATTCCTTTCCAAGAAGCATCTGTATGTTGCCGTTCCTGGCGGGAGCAGTCAGTCTGATCTCTCAGTACCTGTGCAGCTTCTGCAATCCTCCTCCCTTCACGGGCACACTCGGTGGCCACAATCCCAAACTGGGTGGCTCTAATCTGACCTGGTGCAGCCCTTCTGGGAGCTGATAGGTGACAAAATAAAAACTCTGCTTTCCCTCCACGCCATGGCTGAAGCACCATGGTGGAAAGCTGTGTGTATGTGAAAACTTCCTACTGTGGAAAGGATGAATGCGGCTCTGGGGACTGGTTCTCTGCACCTTTACACCATTTTCAATGGTGTGCTGTTAATCTGCATGAAGAGCAGAATTGGGCACGTTTGCCTTCAGGATTGCCAACTAACATTACATCAATGCTAAATCCACGTTTTATTTTGTTTGCCCACCACGTTTGCCTGTGCCAGATTCTTCAGCTCAGCCCACTACGTGGGTCAGCCTATTAAAATCGAGGTATAAATAGTGAGGAGTGAGCTTTTGCTTCTGTAAATATTCTGTTTGAAGTGCTCTGACACATCTGACGCTGGATTTGATACCAGCTCTCTTGTAAGAAGTCAATTTTTAATATAGAATCGTATCATTGCTCCTGCATTTTTAAAGTTTCTTGCGAGAAAGATCATCAGTGTGACCGAGGGCTAGAAAAGTATGAAAATGGTTCAAACGTGTACCAGGGGCTGGGACGTTGATGCCAGATTAGTGTCTTCTAATGCATCAGGGCCTGCAGACACGGGTCTTCCCGCGCCAGTGCTTGGAGATCGTGCAGCGACTTTCTCTCTACATGCAGCACACACAGAGTAGTTGCCGGTTCTCCCGTGCTGCACAGGACAGAAGCACAGAAGTCTTCCAATTACAATTTCTATCTGGTTCACTTGTACTGTGGTTTCTCTCGCCCACCCCCACAGACATGACAAGCTGCAAGATATTGCCTGGGTAGCGATTCCTGCAGCTAAAGCCTGGGAGAGCAGTGTGGCATCCAGATAGGACTTTCTAATAATAAGTTTGCCTTTATGTGGTGCCTTTTATCTGAGGATCTCCAAGTGCTTTACAGCCTCTAATTAAAGCTTGTGACACACCATGAGCTGCTCTGATGCTCTTTCTAGTATCTCTGAACGTTAGAGCTAAAAAGGTGGCCTGCAAGTACTCCTCTGTGTGCTGTGGTCCCATTAGATTCTGCATACTAAGTGCAGACTTTGATGGGAAATTTCCGAGGAGGTTGTACTGGTGGTTCAGAAGATGCTCCAGTTCCCCCTGAGCCTGTGCTGGGCTGGTGCCCAAGGATATGGTTCCTTAGGCCTTTTGTATGTGAGACAATTAATAAAAGCTTTTTCTTTTCCCAATAGCCCTGGCCACCGTTAACTTTCAGAAACTGGAACCTGGGCTACTGAAATACCTGGACACAGTACAGGTAAGATGCAGAAAAACTTTGTTCACCTAGATTTTCCAGGACAGCATTAGAAATGAAGTGCTGGTAGTCTGTTTTGGTTTGGGGTTTTTTTTGAACAAATGCTTGGGCTTCTTTCTCATTAGGCCAAATCCTTCTGGAATCAGTGAAAATACTCATGGTGATTTCTCTGGAGTATGAGGGAGGTTTTAAGCAGGCTGTTATCCAGTGCCTTCTTAAAGGCCTTCAGCTGTGCCTTGTGGCCTGTATTTAGCTGTTAGGGGATGGATTTCTTCACGCTTTCAAGTGTTGATACCCAGTAGCATCCCACTTTGCAACTGTCAGACCTCTGTCTTGAAGTTCAGTCGTCTTTTTCCCAAACCCTTTTACCCTGGTGCTGTGGCTACTGTCAAGAGCGTGGCTGAGAACTGTAGCCTTCAAGTGCTGGGTGCTGCTCTGCTGCAGTTCTTGCAGGGAACACTGTGATGGGTGTTTCAGTCATCTCCAGCACCTCATACTGAGTGCAGATATGTGAAGTTGGATTAACGGCGTGCTGTGCAGTAGTGAGTATTGGCTCCATTAGGCATTTGGCCCTATTTCAGCAAAGATCTGCAGCAGAACTGATCAGAGGAACACTTTGATTTCAGACACACTGCCACGGTACTTTCACAAAACTCCTTCCACACAGTCCAGCCTACCTGGCATTTAACAGCGCTCACTGTGAAAAAACGTTTGACTTCGGGGTGTCAACTTGTGTGTCTGTAACAGTGTCCTGTGCTGTCGGAAATGGGAATCAGGGGGAGGGAATTGCCTAATGAATGTTTGATGCAAAAAGCATCTTGACTGTGTGATGAGGAGGTAGCGAGGGAATAACAAGTTTTGGGTTTTAGTGATAGGTTCTCTGTTTGCATCCTGTGTCCTCTTCTTCCTCTTGTTGCTCTGCTTGCTCCAAATACCAGCCTGGAAGGATGTGAACAACTGACCTGTGCCCCAGGCCGTGATCAATTCTCTTCTGATCTCCTCCTTTGGCTTTGCCTGTACTGTGGAAAGAAACCTTGCTGCTGGCATGCTGAACATTGAATCCTACTGCTTTAATTTGTTTTCTTTTCCTGTACAGGCAAAAGGGGCTCTGCTGCATTGTGCTTCCGCCTTCTTTAGGTCTTACAAAATTCCCCAAACCCTGCAAACGAACAGAAGGCGGCACCTTCCCCGCCAACTGACTACCCAAATGCAACGTGGCCCAATAAAAGCAGCTCCTCCTTTGCCACGCTCCCTCATTACAAGATAGGAAGCCTGTCATTCATGTTTGTAAGGATTATGAAGCTATGTTATCTTTTCCTTGTTACAATCTCTTATTTCAGAGGGTGATAAAGCTCCTTCTTTGACTAGTTTACTGCGGATGGATTGATGAAAAACATATTTCCAAGAGCTGGTCTGAACCTGGAACAATTAGATTATTACAGGCACCTCCAGTTGTTTTTTCTTAATGAAACACGAGTTTCTTTAATGCCACTTACCGTGGCCATTTCATGTGGCATCAGGTAAAGGCCCTATCAAATAAAAAACAAAATTGCCTTGACTTGAAATAAATACCGTGAGGAGGGAGTGCCAGCCAGGCTGAGCACATGTTGCCCTGTCCAGTGTGATGGGCCCGGGTGGAATTCTGCAGGAGCAAAGGGAGCTGGCAAGCGGTAACAAATGGGAAGCGATTGCTCTGTGTGCAGAGTCGTTTTAATGAAGACCTAATTCCTGCAAAGGCTAATTTCTTCCTGCCAACACCATATGCGGCATTAAAAAGGCATTAAGCTGCTAAGGTCTGCTGTTCCTACCTTGGCAAGCTCTGGCTGCGCTGCACCTGCAGACTCTCAGCTGGCAGTGGTGTAGCTGATAAGCAGACGTTTATAAATGTGTATTTCTAGCAGAAGCTAAACAGTGGCAGTTGGTTTGTCTTTCTGCAACAGCTCTACCGAACCACAGTATCCAGAACTAGCTGGTATCGCCTGATCGTGTGCTGTGGTTTTTGCTTTGTGCCTAGCAGAGGACTTTGCTGCTTCGCTTGCCTGTTCTGGGCATTGCTGGCCCACAGCATCTTGTTCTTGTCCAGAGCTCCTTAGCTGCTTTTTTTTTTTTTTATGCCAACAGAAGAAAACACTCTTGCAAACCACATTGCCAAGCTGCGTTTGAACAGTGCTTCTCTAGAAAATAGGGATGAGTGCTAGACTGCCCTGTCTCCACTTTAACACTTTGCTTTTGTTTTGATACAGAGAGGTCAGCCAAAGATGGTGATGGAGTATTGGACCGGGTGGTTTGATAACTGGGGAGGCCCTCACTATGTCTTTGATGCAGATGGTGAGCACCATAGACTGTTCTTGTAGATCGGGGGGCTTTATTGCTCAGCAAACAGTTGTGGAAAAATCACATACTGCTTTTTCAAATTTTCTGTCCCTCTGTAAGCTTTGTTTTGTGTGAGTCTTTGTCAACGAATAATCTCTCAGTGAGTGGGTCACGTTGCCGTGCCTTGGATTTTCTTTAGTAGTGTTAGTAAGCAGCAGCTCTTTTTTTTAAAAAAAAAAAAAGAAAAATTCTCATTTTATTTCTCAGAGATGGACTCTATGAGGTGTGCGGAGTGCCATACATTTTAAGTTATTGGTGTCAGTGTGTCCTAAGGCCTTGTGCTACCCTTGGTTGATTTTTAAAATGCAGCCCGGTGATTTAAATCATCTGTTTCATCTGAGCTAATCTAAATCCTGTGAAGACTTTATTTGCATTTTGCAAAACTATCACAAGTTTTGTGAAACCTCCCTCATAACGGCATTACTTGTCTAGTGCATAAACACTCCTCATTAAGAGAGGATTATTTTACCTTTTGTGGGAATATGATGAACTTGAGCCTCTTGCAAGTATAGCACCTTCTGAAAAGTATCAGGTTTTTTCTAGTTTAAAAGCTCATTAGGATGGAAGATTAGTACTGAAAAAAAAAAACCACCCAACAACCCCAGAACCTCCAGGGCATCTAAAGTACAGTGAAAACAGAGCTGTATAAGACTGTTTTAATGACTTTCTCATCCTCCTGCAATTGTCTTTGTAATTGGGTCATTAGTGTGTTGAGTTTAGGAGTCTGACTGAGTAGTCCTTACAACTCCTCTGCTTAAAAGCAAAATTCCTGCTCAAGTGCATGAGCTTTACCCTTTTTCAGCTATAGGGGAGGTATGTATGAGTGTATTGATACGTCTGGATATGTCAGCAGGTGTGCTGCCCTTACTGAGGGCAAAACACAAATCACAGCACAAATCACTGTAAATACTCAGGCGGGACTGACAAGGAGCAGAGTGTTTGTGTCTGCTCGAGTTAACTGGAAGAGTGTTAGCCCTGCTCCTTGATCTGTGGCCTTCCTGGCACTGCCCTTCCTTTACAGAAATGGTGAATACTGTAGCAACCATCCTCAAATTAGGAGCATCCATCAATCTCTACATGTTTCACGGAGGCACCAACTTTGGCTTCATGAACGGTGCTTTGGAGGCCGATGAATACAAGTCAGATGTCACCAGTTACGGTGAGTTTTCTTTCACTGCCCTGAAGCTGGTGATCCAAGATACAGTTCTGGGGTTTAATGTTACCAAGACAAATTGTACCTCAAAGCGCTTTACATCCCAGCAGCCCTTTGTTAAAACTGTTAATTGTGGACTTTATCTCGTGTGAAAATCTGGATACGTGCAAGTTAGATCTCTCGAAGTATGTTGCTCCTCAGTGAGCGGCTCTTCTCCAAATTAAGCGACTCTGTGCTTGTCTAGCTACATTCGCACAGATAAAAATGTACAGGTTTCCATAATATAGACAGTGCCAAGAAAACCGTGTCTTGGGCTTTTACTACTTTGACGACAGTGTACATGGTGGCTGTCCCGGAGCTGCTGTATGTTTTTTGAAACATATGTGCTGCTTTTTCAGATTACGACGCTGTGCTGACAGAGGCTGGAGACTATACATCCAAATTTTTCAAGCTCCGACAACTCTTCAGCATGATCATTGGTAATTATAAATGCGAGAACCTAAACACTGTTCTACCTACAGAGTGTTTAATCTGGCCCTTCTGCTGGAGCCCTGTGACTCTGGTTGGTTGACTGGCTGGGTGCTTTTTCCAAAAGGTGGGATGGAGGACCAAAGGAGGCCTGGAGGGGCCTTAAATCTATGCTGGCTTTTTGCACCTGAAGTAGCTGTTTCATCTTTCTTTTTGGCATCACAGGCCAGCCTCTTCCTCTGCCTCCCATGATCGAAAGCAAGGCGTCGTATGGTGCAATCCTGTTGCATCAATATATCTCTCTCTGGGATGTGTTACCGTCTCTTTTACAGGTAGGACTACCAATTTTAATGCTGCTGGGTACTAAAAGGCATCACCTCTTAGGTGGAAAAGGCAAGGAGTGCGCTGGTTGTTACCCCATGAGGGAAAGGCTGGGGAATGTTTTAAGGATATGCGAAGGAGGCAAATGTTTGTCTCACCTTTCCTATTGCTGCTTCTCTTCTCAGCATTCCAGTTTTGCAAGGCCTTGGCTCCATTTTCTGATAGCTTGTCTTTACTGCTGTAGCTTTCATAGAGGCATAAGGTGATTCAGGTTGGAACACTCTGGAGGCTTACAGGGGAAATGTAACCTGTGGCAGAGCAGAACACCTGTCTTAAATTAATTGCCTCTGTGCGGCCTGTCAATGCCAAGAGGCTACTTCTGCCGTTAAATTTGTTTCTCCTTTGCAGCCCATTAAGTCAGAGTTTCCTATTAACATGGAGAATCTGCAGCTAAATGATAGCAGCGGGCAGTCCTATGGATATGTGCTCTACGAGACTGTTATATTTGGTGGTGGACATCTGCATTCAAGGGACCATGTCCGTGACCGAGCGCAGGTGAGGAGCAGAGGGTGACTAACTGCAGGCAGATGTAAATGCTTTTGCTCTTGGCAGCTAGGCAGGAGGTGGGTCAGCTATGAAGGAAAATGTGAATTTTTAGATGAGAATTGTGATTTGCTCTTTTCGATCCTCAGCTAAGCCCCAACCACCCCTTATCATTTGTAAATCAGCTTGAGGTTCCAGTCTACTAAAACTTTTAAACTTTGGAGTAGTGAATGTTCTGAGAAATGTGATTCCTTTTTCCCCCACCTAGACTGAATCAGTGACACCGTTACGGACGCTGAGTTCTGGTTTCAAGTAGAGACCATTTCCTCCCCAAAACCAACTCCAGTAACCTGTGCAACACGTGATTGTAGTACAGTTGATGAGAAGTTGCTCTCCTCTCTTGTGTTCTGTTCTGCAGGTGTTTGTAAACACCATGTACGTTGGTGAGCTGGACTACAACAGCGTGGAGCTCTCTCTCCCTGAAGGACAGGTAAGTAATTGGAGGTTGTTCACAGCAATACTATGTGGATAACAGAGCCAAGACTGCTAAAGAGGCAGCACTCTCAAGAAGGCATCTCCCACCTAATCTGTTTAACTAGCTGCTGTGGTAGCCTGACACAGGGAATGGTTGTTACACCCTAATTAGACACTATTTCATTAGTGAAATACAGTGTGATTTCACTGCCAAGTCACTATTTGTCATTGAGAATGGTTTTTGAATACTTTTCCGTGGAGAAAATACAAGTCACCGTAGTCCTTGCGGCACAAAATTTGCCAGGCTTCCTGCCACACCCACAGCTGCAGCCACAGAGTACCCCGGTTGTGCAGATCAAGTCCGTGTGGGCTTCATCTTCCTTAGCACGAAGCAGGTTTTAAGAGGGTTCGGGGGATTTTTCATCTTTTGGGTCTCGGATGAAGGGAGGGGGAGTGTCTCTCTTTAGCTCTGAGAGCGGTCTTACCCTGGCAGAAGTTGGCAGTGAGAGTAGGGGGTTGATTGAAGGAGTGTCAGCAGAGCTGTACGTGGCTCCTAGGAGTAGGTGAGTGGGTGGATATACTCCCTGTTCTTATGACTTTGTGGGAGAGCTGGATGAAATAAGCCAGCACTATGTCAAACTCCATTCCTGGCTCTGTGGGTGATACCAAAACGGTACTTAAAACTTCAACAGAAATAAATACAAAAATTAAAAATAAAAAACAAAAAAAAGGAAAACTTTTATGAAAAGGCTGCGAGTTCCTCAGTGGCATAAGTGTTTGCGTAAGATACGGTGACACTGTTCTGTCACGTCATCCAGAACAGATAAATCACAATTGCCCAAGGTTTTGGTGCCACCTCCCCTCTCAAACCCCTCTGCTGACCTCTGGTAACCAAGCACTAGGGCTGATACAGCACGTGCTGTGCACTGGTCCAGCTGATGCTCTTTTTTGTTTTGTTTTTTCACAGGGATTCAGGCAGCTAAGACTCTTGGTAGAGAACCGCGGGCGCGTCAATTATGGGCTGGCACTGAATGAACAGAGGAAAGGTAAGTGAAGTTCTCTTTGCTCTCCAGCTGTCCTAGATAGTTCTCGGAGTTTAAAACGCTGTAGAACTGTCTTTCTTGTGTGCTTTACACAGAACCAAACCGAAGACCCAGTACAGCTATGGTAGTGCTAGCCAAAACTACCATCTGGGAGTCGGTGGGAGATGGTGTGACGGAGGGAACTTGTTAAAAAACACAGTTCATCAGCCCCTCTCTGGAGCAGTCGGAGATGAAGAGCAGTGGCTGCTTGATGGCTTGCATCGAGGCTTCTTATTTTATAGGGGACAAGCTACACCCAAGGCCATCAGCGAATCGTATTCTGCTCTACATTCGCTAGGTGATGTTAGGGTACCTTTTCTCTTGCTCTGTGAGCATGTTACTTCACAGGAAGAGAAGGAAAATACCTCTCTTGATCTGTGTTTCCCCCGGGGGTTTGATTTTTGGAGGATCACAGCATTTAAAAATTCACACAGTATCAGGAGGAATGAATTGCATCCTGTTGAGCAGAATTTACTAAAATGTTCGAGTCTGTCACACACAGTTTTGGAGCTGGAAGAGGTCAAAACCCCAGGATTCTATTTTAGTGGGGAACTGTATGCAAAAACTATACAAAATAGACTAATGGAGTTAGGCACGTGACTGTACTAATTTTAGTTTACTGCAGAAGAGGTGCATAAAGCCTCTGCGCTGCTTAGGCAGTCTCAACTGCAGTCCTGTAATTAGGAGGCTGGATTAGGACCCAGGCTTTGCCTGCTACATGGAGAATAACTTCATCTAACAAGAGAGTGCTAAAGGAAAATTACTTATTAAGGTGTCTTAAGATCCTTGGATGAAAAGCACGGGATCAGCACTGGACATTAGTGCTTGCCCGTGTTATATTTTGCTGTGCCTATTAGAGAAGGAACTGATTTACTGCTTTAAAAAAAAAAATCTATACATGGACAGCTAACTAAAAGACAACAATAACAACAAAACCCCATCTGGTGCGTGTGTCAACAATGTTTTCTGCTTGGAGGGTGTTTAACGGCTTGGTGAGTTGAAGCAAAGGAGAGATTGGAGAGGCCAAAGTATAGTAATGTTCTCCACTCAATCTGGCTGAGCAATGGGACCATATGGACTCTAATTCCATTGCAGAATGTGGCTGCTTTCCATCTCCTGCTGTTCCTCGCACTCAAATAGGAAAATCTATCAGCTTTAGCTGTTTTTCAACTCTTCGTTACCCCCATTGCTCTTGCAGGCTTAATTGGTGACGTCTTCCTGAATAAAACCCCCTTGAGGAACTTCAAGATTTACAGTTTGGAGATGAAACCTGGCTTCATGAAAAGGTTTGTGGGGTTTAAAAATGTTTTCTTCCTCATTTGAAACCAACTGTTTACCATCAGTACAAAATCTTAATAGGTAGCAGTTAAATCTATCAGAAAGGCAACGCAAGGTAAAAGCAGGTGAGTGGGTTTTTGCACTGATAAATTCCTTAACTGATACCTTTGCCTGAAATAGTGCAGAAAATGGTGCTGCTTTATCCATACCATTATTTAGGTGTGAAATGTCTTCCCACTGTGGAGGATTTAAAGACTTCCTTCCTCACAGCCTGCGCAGCAGGGTTAGATGGGGTAGGTAAAAGCACAGCTTACCCAAAGGGGTGGGTCCCAGCACACCCACATGTGGGAGAAGTTTGTGTCTTTCTTGAAATTAGCAATATGTCTGATATATTTAGTAATTCAAACTCGCAAGGGACAGATTAATTCTAGGAAGCTACTAATAGTACATTAACAAGTCCAGATGGCTTCCTCTCTTTTAAGTTATTTTGCTTTAATTCGAAAAAGACTGAAAAAGAAATTTAGCAGGGGTAAGTTAAGGAGCCTCTGTTAGTAGATACAGAAAACCTCAGCAAACCTTTAAGGCAACAGATGCCCTCTGGACTCTTGCCACAATTCAGAGAGACTGTTTTCAGTTAATACCAGAAAGCAACACATCTACATCCCCCAAGATACCACAGCTCCCTCAGTTTGTGTAGGAAGGAAAGGCCACGTTAAACTGAAATGGCTTTTAAAAGAAAAAAGAAGTCAACATTTTGAAATGTCTAAGGATGCTCTTAACAGGTGCTGGGGGGAGCTACCTGAAGGATTCTTATTGATGGGTTAACTCGCATAACCTTGGCCTGCAGGGTGTGAGAAGAGTATTTCCAGTGAGGAACAGTAAAGCCAGCGCATTGCCATGCCCAGAGAAAAGCCAGATTAGTCAGTGAGGCAGCGGGGGCCTGGCAGGTGACTGGGAGCAATGAAACACCATCAGCTCGCAGCCGCTGCGCAGGAGGACGGTGGTGCGTGGTGTTGGGAAAGGAACCGTCGTGGGCTTTCAGCTGAGTAATTCAGTAGCAGCCGAGCTGCACTGGATCAATAACTACCCTGAATCCAAGAGCAGTTTGTAAGGAACATGTTCTGACAGAAGCTCAAGGCTTCTGTGGGACTCCTACACTCCCTATTTTCTCTTCTGTTTGGCTCCTGCTCCCAAATCGTTTCCATGGGTAAGAAATAATGCCGGATTGCCCCTAATTACTGCAGACTTGCAAGGATGTGTTTGTGTTCCTGGGCAGGAACGTCTGCTTTGAATCCCACCAATTCTACAGGTTTTCCTTTAGCCTGCGCAAGCCCCATGCATTTAAAGCCGGCACCATGGCACTGTCATATCTGAAGGAGGACCAGCACTTCAGCACTGACTTAAAGCAGAGGTTTTTTACGTTGCTGTAAAGTACTAGAGATGGTGATGGCCCCATATATCCCTTTCTTGTACCAGAAATTGGCCTATCAGTGATGTGGCAAGCATAGGATAATGAAGACTGAGACATGTACCACCAGTTCACTCATCTTAAGTGACGGGGAGAGATCAGCTAGGTGCTTGCCTTGAGTGTTTACAGGAGATAAACACTTCGTCCCTTTGCAGCCTGGAGAATGTTACCTTTAGGCCCTACCACTAGAAAGCAACTGCTTGACATTTCAGGCATGCAAGGAAATAACCACCTTGTTGTAACAACATCCACCCGCCATGGTAAGCAGCGATTTGGAATGATCTCGAGACCAGTGTTGTGTCTCTCAGTGCTGCCTAGCGCTTCCCTGCTCTGTTCGGTCACTCTCTTACAGCTTACGACACACTGCTGGCTGGAGTGCAGTCCCAGATTACTTTGTTGGTCCAGCTTTTTTTCGTGGAAGGTTGTGGATAGAGCATCAGCCACAGGACACTTTCTTGAAGCTACAGGCAAGTCCTATTCTTCTTTCCTCCTTATATTTTCTTGAGCAAGATTTTTTTAAGAAGCTGGTTAGAAAGACACTCGTGTAATAGCTCTGACTGAGCTCTGTCTTGTAGTCTGGAGTTTTGCAGTCTTCCTCTGATCTTGGAGAAAGAGAATTATTTTGAGGGTGTAGAAGTCTTCTCAAGCTGGCCAGTAATTCTGTTCAGTCTGTAGTGATCCTGATGAGAAAATACTTGCAGTAGTGACCCTGCACAGCTGCTAATGAACAGTTAAGTCTTTTTCCCTGACTTAAAAATGCTATTTCTTTTCTAGTTGCAGAGGAGTAAGGGCGCCACAAAAAAAAAAAAAAAAAAAAAAAAAGCAAAGGCACTAGTTTTATCCCTGCCTCCTCAATGTGATATGGAAAGAGTCACTTCTTTGTGGACATGGCATGAGAGTTAGTGTTCACATCTCTCTTCTGTGGAAGATTGCTGCTCTTGCATAGAACTTAAGATGTGATATGAAGTATTGTTCAATTTTCTCCTCCAATTTCACTCCCTTAGAGCCACGGTTCATGCCAATCATTATTGTACTCACTTTTCCATTTATGCTTTGTTGTAAGTTACACTAGTCGGTACCAATACAGCACTTCTGTCACCTGGGAAATAGGTGAGGGGAGATATTCTGGGCTTGGGAAGAAATAAAGATATGCCTGTTCAAAAGGATGAAGTTCCCTGTACAAGCATGAAGCATGAATTGCACGTTTTTGAAAGCTTCATCCTTTTAATTAGTACGTTAAGGATAACTCCTGTTCAACAGGGCTTACTTAAATGTCAGTGGTGTCAGGGAGTTGCACAGGGAAAGTAAGCAGAAAACCTGCAGAAAGTGGCCTGAAAGAACCCAAGTGTGCAAGTAGACAGTTTGCTGGGGGGATGTTAACTGGGCAATACAGCTGCCTCAGTAATTCTGTGTGCTGTCTTGATCCTAGGGCTGGGAAAAAGGAGTTGTGTTTGTCAATGGTCAGAACCTGGGCCGCTACTGGAAAATTGGACCTCAGGAAACACTCTACCTTCCTGGGCCCTGGTTATGGAAAGGGAACAACGAGGTGAGAGGCTTTAGTGGGATTTCTCTTTGCTTGTTGGTATTATTAAGAATCCTGCTCTGAGTCCCAAGGAGCTAGACACATACAGCAGATTAATCACCTACCTCTGGCTGAAAACCAGCGCAGTAGAGAGGAAGGAGACTGTTACCTCCTAAGATCTGTCAAAACTGGGGAAGGTGCTGCTCTAAAACTGACTGTGGCTCTGACAGCCACTGAGACACAAACGAGGATGGCAGCTAAACTTCAAAGCACTGCATCAAGTTCCAAAATCAAGACAAACCTGATTTGATGCTGGTTCACTTTCTGCATCATGTGGTGCTGAAGAAGCATCACAGTTACTGTTCAAACTCATATTGATTGATCTCTTTAAATGATGTTTCCTTTCCCTCCTGTGATCCCATGCCTTTTCCTCCTAAAAATGTTTAAAGTAACTCAGCCTTTGTATGAAGGAACTTTATATATCCCTCTCCTCTGCAGATTGTCATTTTTGAAGAACGCACTGCAGGACGGATAATACAATCTGTCGACATACCTTATTTAGGAAGAACCCAGTACGTGGACTGATGAGAGTTTCTTTCCCATGTTTGGTTCATCTTGAATACTCCTGGTTGCATGTCTGGGGACACGATGGCCCAGGCACTTGGGCATCTTAATTTCTACTAGACCCAGGTAAAGGATTTGCTCTTTGGCAGTAAGTTCAGAGGAGAGGATGGGCCCCGAAGGAACCAGAGTCCATTGTTTCCTGGATGGATGTGGATGCTCATCTCCCTGCACTACGGAGGACCCACAGCTCGGGTGGCTGCGCATGATGTTATGGACCGTCTGGTGAATGTGGGGGAGAAAAGAGGTGCTGGAGGCAGGGGAGAGAGAGAGAGACAAAGAACTGAAGCCATCTGAACTGAAAGCTGAGCTCGGCTCTCCAGTGACTTTAAAAATGTGTTACAACTGGCCACCTTGTTTTTATAATTAGATAGAGAGAAAACAGTCGGTGAACATGTGAGTAACCAGGTGTGGAAAACCATTTTGTGGTGCTTCCAGGCAGAATTTAGCAACTGACTCTGCAAAGAGGCCATTACTTGTTGGAAGCCAGGGTGGTTGTCAAGTGACTTTAATTCGAGCTTTTTTCCCCCTAAATTTTACTGTGGAGGTTGTCTCTCTCTCAAAAAGGAGGAAAAAAAAAAAGTTTTAAAAAGTGAAATGTGTTTTGTCCTTTATCAGATATGTATCATCATGTTTCAAGCCAGGCAGGGATGAGGACTTCCAAGGAGGAGGTGCAGGAGGAGAAAAGGACAAGTTAGTCTTCCAGTCACCCCTCCACCCCTGCTCTCGCTGAAGCACCTAAAGATTAAATTCCCCCCTGTAAAATGAGCAGGGATCACATTCTGGTTGGGACAGAAGTAAAGGGGTTGCATACACAGATCCAAACGGGAGAGCACAGCCCTACTTTTTACTTAAACCTGCTGTAAATTCTTGGGATCTTGGGTCCCGTTTTCTTTTTGTTCCTCAAAACAGAAACACAGGATTTAGGAAAACGTGACTACTTTTTTTTTTTTTTTTAACTCACCAGCTCCGCAGCCCCTGAGGAGCTGCCATCTCTTTAGGGATAGGAAGAGATCAAATTCAAGCTGCTCATCTGTTCAGAATCCCCAAGAAGTTGCTCAGCCCCTGCTTTCTGTTCCAGGAACCAGGGGGTTCAGGCTATGAGAGAAACACCAGACATGCTCACTGTCTCTGATAATGGAGTTGCGGGGTATTCTGGCTCTTAGAAACCATAATTTTATTTAACAAATTTAAATACAGTTTGTTTAAAACTGAGAACAGACAATGCAGCTGTAATACCCTCCATCCTGGCCAGAGCTGGTCTTACTGAACATGCATCTCTGCTCCCGGGGACCACGGTAGCAAGTTGGAAGGGCCCAGGCTCGTGTGACCAACTTTGAGGAGAGTGGAGCGTATATGCTTCAGGACTCGATCCTTTGCCATTTTTCTGGAAGGTATTTCCTTCCAAGGAGGGAAGGTTGCAACCCAGCAGGGACTGGAATTAAGATCAGTGAAACAAAACATGCAGCTAGGAGAGGACGTCAGTTGGAAACTATTTAAATGGTATGAAAAATTTGTAGTCCTTTAAAAATGTCTCTTTCCACGCTAGGGTTTGCAGACTGAAGTGGACTTGGGAGGCTGGGACAATAACAGAATAAATCTGCTGGAGTGCAGAGAGCTACTGTTTTAATACAAGATAACAATACCCGTTCCCACAGAGCAGCCAGCGGCCGGTAGCATCGAACACTTTCTATACAAGTAGCCCTTCAGCCAGTGCATCTAAAGGAATAATTTTGTAAAGGCTACCTAGCAAGGCTTCTGTGACTGGGAATTAAAGAATGCAACTCTTCCCCCAATGGTTTTGATATACAGTGGGAGCAAATAACTTACAAAAAAATATTTCTTTTTAAATATTAGGAAATACACAATGTCCTTAGTCCAAGGGGGAACTTCTGCACTGTGAAGGTAACAATCAAATCTATAGCATTTTAATAGTTCTATCTGTTAGGGCTGAAAATAACCACATCTGTTTCCAGGATTACATTTTTTTTCCCTCAATTCAAAGGTAAAATTGTGCTTCAGACCTTTCTGAAAGAATTGGGACAGTAGGGGTTGATCAAAAGGTTTGACGAAACTGTGGAGGGCGAGGTAAGTTTTGGTTGGTTTTAAAGGGGTGGCGTGGGGGGGAGAAGGGGTGTGTTGTACCTCAGTGTCTTCCTCAGCAAGTTTTGTCTGTATTTGAGACCAAGGTAGTAGCACCCAGGTTCCTCTTCTGCACTGCTCAGTCTTGTGTCTCTCACTGAGAAGCAAAATACAGTTTCATCAGAGAACACCCTTTCGTCAGTGCTATCTCAGGACCTTTGGTGTTCTGGAGCGGGGAAGAGGCGACTGATGTTCTACATAAATAGTTTTTCAACCTACCTCAAGCCAGGTGCTGAAGAAAGAGCACTTGGCACAGGATCCCCTTTACAAGGGTGCTGCTCTATCCGTTAGAAGTTAACTCACCCACAGCCCCAGCGTGGCTTTTCACGCTGGCAGCTCTGCAGTAGTGTGGCATGGCCCTGAAAAGGGGGCTAGGGCTGAAGGATACATTTCCAGTAGAATGGTAAATGCACTAAAATCAGCCTTTATCCTTCAATCCCTAGTTTTAAGCAGTCAACTTTTATTTTTAAAGTCTGGAAATTTGGCTTTATGTAGGAGAATCCCACACCTAATGCTCGTGTGAATCAAAAGTGGAGCTCAACAGAACCACGATCTGAGCCTGGATGAAGTACTATGGTGTATGGCCACAACAATCTCATTAAAACCCACTTCCAATTATTTTAGCATGGATCAATAGAGAGAGCGAGCCACGTGCTGTAAACAGAACTCCATCCAGGAACAGTCAGCTGGTTAAGGTCAATGTCTCAAGGTCCAGACAGAGACTGGTGACAAGTGGTGCCCCTCAGGGGTCCATACTGGGACCAGGACTGGTTAATATCTTCATCATGACATGGACAGTGGGATCGAGGCACTGTTTACCAATGACACCGAGCTGTGGGGTGTGGGTGACAGGCCTGAGGGATGGGATCCATCCAGAGGGACCTGGACAAGCTTAAGAACTGGGCCTGTGGGAACCTGATGAGGTTCAACAAGGCCAAGGCCAAGGTCCTGCACATGGGTCAGGCCAACCCTTGGTATCAGCACAGGCTGGGGGATGAAGGGATGGAGAGCAGCCCCGAGGAGAAGGACCTGGCGGTGTTACTGGGTGGAAAACTGACTGTGAGGCAGCAACATGTGCTTGTAGCCCAGAAAGGCCCCGTGTGCTGGGCTGCACCCAGAGCAGGGTGGGCAGCAGGGTGAGGGGGGGATCCTCCCCCTCTGCTCCGCTCTGTGAGACCCCCCTGCAGGGCTGGGTCCAGCTCTGGGGCACCAACAGCAGAAGGACACGGACCTGCTCCAGCGGGGCCAGAGGAGGCCACGGAGATGCTGGTGGGGCTGGAGCCCCCCCTGTGAGGACAGGCTGAGTCAGTTGGGGGGTTCAGCTGGAGAAGAGAAGGCTTCGGGGAGACCTTAGAGCGGCCCCCCAGGGCTGAAAGGGGCTGCGGGAAAGGGGGGGACAAACTCAGCAGGGCCTACTGTGATAGGACAAGGGGTAATGGTTTACAAACGAAGAGGGGAGATTTCTACAACAAGGGTGGTGAGACACTGTCACAGGTTGCCCAGATAGTTGGTAGATGTCCCCTCCCTGGAAGTGTTCCGTGTCAGGTTGGACGGGGCTCTGAGCAAGTCGAAGATGTCCCTGCTCAGAGCAGGGGGGTTGGACATGATGGCCTTCCTAGGTCCTTTCCAACCCAAACTATTCCACAACTCCATGAACACAGAGATGGGTCAGAGTGCCCTCCAACCCCTGAAACTAATAAAGGGAGAGGGAATACAAAGAGAACAGGGATACTTCATGGGTTTGTTCTAACCTGCCTTGCTTTTCACCCTTCCCCAAAACCTTCCTGTCTTGTGCAGCGTAATAAACACTGATTAAAGTAGGTTTAAAATTAAGGGCTAAGGTGCCATCTCAGAAGGCAGCTGTCCCCTCCATGGCCAGAGAGCTGCTTAGGCTGTTGCACACATAGCCACAAGGTACGTGTGTCTCGGGAAAAACAAGTCACTGGGGGCCAACACGCTCCCGTGGGCATTCTCACCCTTGCTTTCGGGTCCTGTAAAGAGCCCCTCAGTCTAGACTACCGTGCCAGCTGGGCCGAGTCCTCAGTGCATCGTGCCCTGCATGCACTTCTCCCAAACTGAGCATCTCAGGAGGCAGCTGGTCTCGTACAGAAGCTGACGTCAGTCCTGTATTTTCTGTGCTTTTTTTCTCCACCTCCAGAGTGTCTGGTTCTGCTCAGAGTCCGGGAGGAAGGGCAGGGGAATCCGGGTAGTTTATATGCAGTGTTGCTTGTTTTCAGTACGGCTAAAACTCTTGGAAGTCAGCAGAGGTCCTGGCTACTGCACGTCTGGCTGGTTGTATGCTGCAGAGAGGAACCTTGCAGGCTGTGCGTGAAGAAATCTTCTGCAACAGAGACACAACCAGCATGTGTATTACCCTTCTGCCTCTCTGCAGTTAGCTGCCACCCCTTGGAACTCTCCCAAACCCCATCTCGGATTGCAGATCTGTGAGTCCTGCTGCTAGGCAACTGGGTGTTGGTGAAAAGCAGTTGTGACAGCGCTGAAGAGCTATGGCCTCTCCGCAAAGCTGCTATATATAGTGCTGGTAATGTGCAGTGCAGGCTTTCCTCTGCTGTCCTGCCAAGGGGCCGCAAAGGCGGGCGGCCGCAGCAGGCAGGGCTCCAGCCAGCCAGCCCGGGGGAACGCGCTGTAAGCGAGCTCATTTCTGTTAAAAATATACTGCTGCGGAGCAAATCTACCCCTTTGCTGCTCTTACTTCTTCATATTCAAGGGGAAAAGAGAACAAGCAGCACCCTTCTCTCCCCTCCAGGCCTGGCTCTACACTCCAGTTAAAGGAAATTGGACTTTTTTTTTTTTTTCCTCCTCCCATAATAACGAAGCACAGCAACATAGTCTGGATGCAGAGACAAGCGAATAGCCCGTTCTTCACCCTAGCAAGCCAACTGCAGGGTGCACTCTGGAAATACAGAAGGCTAAATGCACCAGCGTGCTCAGGTAATTAAAATCAACAAAGGAGCAAGAAGTCAGCCCTGCCGCTCGCTGTGGGTATACAAACGCCTCGCGTGGGGTTTAATCCACACCCTGCCTTCCTTGTCACTGACTTTGTGCGGCTTTGATGTGGCTATAAAATAAACTCTTCCCTCAGTGAAAGCTTCTGCTTGACTTAAAAATGCTTTCCTGATATTGCTTTAGCTTTCTTCAGGTGTTTGCAGGTGGATGAATCCGCATCCTGCATCCTGGTGCTTAAGCTGTATCAGCACAGTGAATAAAACAATCTTCTTGTTTAGACAAGGGTTTGTTTTTTTTACCAGTGTAACTTCTGCCTAACCTCTCACTCCCTGGCTTTCTCTTCTTCCCCCCACCCTCTCACTAAGTATTCCCCCTTTAGCAGCTTGCCTTAAAGATAGAGAGATTAACTAATGGTCTCAAGAAGCTGTGCAGTAGGGGAAGGTCATGTGAAAAATGGAAATTAAAAAGCACATTTAAAAGAGCTCTTATCTTTTTCCTGACATTGCCTAGTCTTTGCCTTTTCTGCCATTGCTTCTCATTACTGTTCAAAAATGTGAGCTCTTACCTGGTGTTGGTCTCTGTTCAGCCATGCACAGTCAGATTTCCACGTTTGGATCTGTGAATCCTTTCTTCCCCTCGTTCACCAGCACAGGCTTTTCTGTCCTTGTGTGCCAGACTAAAATCTGAAGAAGCCAACAGAAGTCATTAGCTGCACCTCTTCACTGCACTAACAAATATTCTTGCACATTAAATCAATAGTGCAATTTAACCATCTACCCTGGAGCCTAATGGCGCATTCACAGCTGAAAGGAGGTTTGCATAAAACTTCATTTAGGCAGGCCTACTGCTATCCAAAATGCACAGTGCACAGAAATTACCCATTTTACAGTGTACTGTCTTGGGACATTAACCGGCTCCTTCCATGTAGTTATCAACCATCTTCCTCGAAAGGCTCATCAACCTTTTCAATGATGTAAAGGCAGTTCCTTCCTAACTGGAGGATTACATGCATGTTTCCCCACAGACCCAGTTCCTTAGTCTGGTTCTTGGTTAGCATGTTACCGCAGCCTTGGGCAGGGCTCAGAGTGGAAATGTAAATTCCTGCCACATCAGGTCACACCGGCACTCCTACATTAGAGGGAAGAGGCAGTTACAGCCAGCACCACCCGCCGCTCCAGTCCTCACCGATGCCTTTGGCTGTGTGCAAGACTAAAATGGATTTTTCAGCACATCCCTGAAAATCCATTACTGGACGGAAGACATCAGTCTGCTCCCTAACCTCACTATCACTTCTTTTCCACTTTTAAATTCTTTCAAGCCCCTAAAAAGGTACGAGAGTGACACTGATCTGAGAAGCATCGACTGCTGCTCCTGTTCCCTGTTGCAGCCCCTCCTGCCTCAGAGCTGCAGGATGCAGGAGCTAGTTAATCCCTTCCTCCCGCACGCTCTGGGCTGTACGCAGCCCTTTTTATAACCCAGGAAGCATTAAAATATCGTATCACCTCAAAAGCCCCATCCTTTGAAATGCTGCCCCCTCTGTGCTCTACCAGGTACAATGTGCTGCATCACTTTAAAGCCCCCCTCCAACTTGCTTAAAACAGAACTGTAGCTTCTACTAAAAGCTTCCCCCAGTTTTAGCAGCAAAGTTTAATACAGATAACATCTGTGGAGAACCGGAAAAAGTATAAATTGAAGAGGTGGTCTAACATCTTTGGAAGGGGGGGTGGGTGTATTAGAAGTAAATAATTTCTAGTAGCTGGGCTCTGCTGCTGGCACAGACAGTTCTGGATGCTGTTTAAAATACTCTCCCCTCACTAGACTCAATTATACTTATTGCTTTGCTCCTAGAACCTGAATTGCTGGGAGCAGCTTTATCCCTTCAGAGCTACAGTCTCCTGCTTCCCTTCACCTGTTCACATTGATATTTCCTACCTTGCAGGGGTTTCCCTCTTGTTGCTATGACAATACTCTGCACATTTAATCCAAGTATCTGCAAACCATTTCATACCCAGGCCCTGCTTTTTCTGAGAAATGAGGGCATGTTCTGTTTCTAAAGGATGTACAAAGCACTTTTCAAACGCTTCTGGTTAAACAGGAGCACCCCCACCTTCCCAAGAAGCTGTTGGGCCAGATTTGTCTCTGATGTGAGCAGTCACCTCCTGCGCGGGGCTTAAATCTCGCCTGCTAATACTAAGGCAGTGGAGACCAACTGCTGTCTGGAGTGGGTCCAAAAACCCATTTCATCGTTCCCCCACAACCACTTCAGAGCCTGCTCATCAAAGTTAGCGTTATTATAGTCCTGCTCACCCACTGCAGCAATGCTGCTGCAGTTACCGCGTTGCTTTCCCGTGCAAAGGCAGAACCAAGCAGGTCTGTACCCGCGGCTCTCGGTGCTACGCAAGCTTCGGCCGTGGGCTCCTCACCCCACAAACAGAACGCACAAACCTTAAGGCAGGCCAGGTGCTAGAACAATCCTGTAGCCAGTTCGCCTTTCCAGCAGGAGCAGGTAAGAGCTCTTTCCACTTCTGACACATACAAACTCAACCCTGCAGAGGGGCAAGGGCTGCACTCTGCCAGGAACGGGATTCACACTTACGCAACTCCAACTACATACTCCATACACAGAAGACCACAACTACAGGTTGTTAGCGTTTCTTTCACCTGGATCCCACTTTTGCACTGGTGAAGCCAAGCACCAAAAAGGACAGCTATATTAAATTAACTAAAACGGACCCATTTTCAGAGTTTGCAGCTTGATACAGCAGCTTCTACTGTTTTTCATGCTGTGTTCTTTAACATGGGAGAGAGATCACCGTTTAGTACGGAAACACCTGCTTTTCCTCTCAGCCAATTGCTTGATTTTTTTTCCACAAGCAGTGTGTTTGGTTTATGCCTCAGGGAAGCTTTGGCTTGTGCAAAAAAGTGCAGTCTGCGAGGGAGAGAACAGTGAGGGGGGCAGAGTATCTGACTTCCCCTGAACAGTCGTTTCATATAGATGACCTGAGGGAGTCCTCGTTTAAAAATCTCTACTACTGTGAAACACTTCCCATCATTTACAGCCTTGCCATTCAGAATCACAGGACTCAAAACAGATCCAAGAGATTACAAGGATTCATCTCCACAGTAAATTTCTTCATTGTCTTCTAACGGGAAATGAAAAAGCAAACAGGCAGGTCGACCTACAGTTGGAGAGGGTCACAGGATTTCCAGCACGCCGACCCTCCATGCAGGGTTTCAATAACTGTGATTGGAAATGGAGGCTCCAACATGAAGAGGCACCAAGCTGAAACGACAGATTTGCTTCCTCCCAGCTTGTGCTAAACCGGGTTCCCTCGGGCATTGTGGAGCCCTCTTCTCCCAGAAGCACATCCACGGGTAGAACAAATAAAGATTGCTTCTCCCTGTAACTCCTGCTTTTCTCACACGTCGAGAGAGCTGTGGCCGCTGCTATTAAATGAGACAGAGTTCAAACAGTAATTTTCAACTGTGCAATTCCACCAAGGTGAAGATTTGTGCTTTGTGATATTATTTGGGTATTACGGGCAAAATATACAAGACCACAGGAGGAGACAAGGTCGCAGCGGTCTGATTTGAGCTATTGCTGCTGCAGCAGCACAGATCTGAAGGTCCACCATGGAGCAGGGCAGGCAGACAGTGCTGCAAAACCCCAACTACTCTGCTGTAAATGACTGCTTTCAGCTGTGGTACAGGGGATGGCGCTGGCACAGCAGTTCTGGTGACTAATCAGGACAAGACAAGGCCAAAAGTACCCTCCAAGTTTTGTACGTCTGTCATAAAAATCAACGGCTCAAGCACTGGTGTGCGTGTGAAGCTTAACCAACAATGTGCTGTCACACAGCAGCCAGGATACTGAAAGCTCACCACAACCCCCCAAGAAAAGAGGAGCCCAATCTCAGGAACTATCTAACCCAAAAGAGACCGATCTGCTCCATCCCTACCCTGCTGCTCAGCCCCTGAAAGGCAAAGAAAACAGAGAGCTCCTGAAGCTGATTCCCCTCCCTGCCATATGTAGCACCATGGGATACAAACACTCTTTTTCAAGCCTTCTTGCCTTAGGCTGACATTTTCCCTCTCTCCTGCCCATTCTGAGCCAGTTTTAGCTGTTTTGGATCTGTGGCATCACGAAGCAGCCAGTTCTGGTCTCCTTTAGCGGTGTGATGTCCTGGGCCCAAAGACTTGGTCTCCTCCATATGCACAAGGATTTATTCCCCTCCCAGAGCCACTTCCAAGACCCACGGTGTTGGTGTGTGGTCCAGGTACTGCTGGGGGAGCTCTCTTTGCTCCCCATTCTCTGACAGCAGCCTGTTTTACTGACTGTGGCATCTAATAGCCTCTAAGGCTCAGAGACAGCCGTTCCCAGTCCAGCAGGAAAAGCTGCCAGCCAAATTCCCTTTCATAACATCCACCTGAACACCGAGCTGAGATTTAATCTCAGATTTTACGCAGCCAAGAGCTAAGGAGAGAGGAGGAATGACTACTTTTAGCCACCACTTTGATCCCAGGGTATTGCTATGGGGATCACCTGAGAGCACCGACACCTGCCTCCCCAAAGACACGTACCTGTGCCCGTCTCCTCGGGTAAACAAGCGGCTCCAGCAGCAGCTGGAACAAGAAACTCCTCATTTCCAATGATCTTGTGGTCTGGCCTCTCCTGTCAGCCCAAGCTGAGGCTTTTTCAATAGCAGGGGCCACTCAAAGTCTCTCTCCTTTACGGGCCCCCTGGCTGAGCACACTGCAGCTCACTTCCTCAGGTGTTAATAGAAAATGGAGAGCAGAGTATGTCCCAGTTACATCAAGATGATGGGAATGTAAAATCTCAGACCTCGATTCTGTGTCAGTGGATTGAAGAGAGCGTGGTTTGCTTTGGGGGGGGGGAAATGCAGAAGCAGCAGAACACTTAGCACACTTGCAAAGCCTGTTTTCCTTACCACTCCAGTCTAAACCAACAGTTCCCTCCTGGTAGGGAGGGATAGCTCTCTCCTTTCTCCTCGGCAATTTATATTGACTTGATTTTCTCCTTCATTTTGGGCAGTTCCCAAATGAAAGAAAAGAAGCAGGATACGTGTCTTCGGCCAAGCTTTCTGCAGGAGTGTACATTTGTGGGCTGAATTCTGATAAATATCACGAATACCAGCACTGCACCCAGGGAAAGCAGCATTTTTGGAGAACAGATGTCTGTGCTTATCTTACATACTTCTCTGATCCCTCCTTAACGACTCTGTCTGAGCACATCATAATTTTTAATGTAAATCTCACTGCAAACCATGACAACTGCTGGGAGCACACTAGCACAATGAAAAAGAAACCCGTGCTTTGATCCCAGGGCAAAAGGACCCCAGACCACTGTCTACATTTGCCCTTCTCTGCCGCTTGTCTGGACTCTCGTCCTCGTCAAACGGGTGAGCAAAGCAGCAACTGGGAAATGGAGGCTGCTGGCATCAGCGAAAAGCAGAAAGGCAAGACTCAACCTGCAAAGCTGCACTCAGAGTTTGCCAGGAGCAGACAGCATTCAGTTCACAACAAGGACCCTTGTAAGCTTTCCCCAGCCTAGCCAAAAAAAGAAATGCAGTCTGCTTCAAATCCTGGCCAGCGATTCCTGCTTCCTCTCCATCTCTGACCTGCAGCTCTGGTGTGACAGCACTGACACAGCAGCCTGTCTGACAGCACCATTTTTTTTTTTTTCTCCTGCCTGGAAACCACCTTTTCCTTCCTCTCCTTCCTCCATGTGCTCCTCCACAACCATCATTTCCTATGCCCAGCCTTTTAACACAGCTTTTTTTCCAACAATTATTTACACCAGGGACAATATAGGAAAGATTGCATAACTGGCCATGGAGTAAACACCCCTGATCTTCTGTACACCAGCCTAAAAGCAACCTGTGCCTCTCCCTCAGCCTGCTGGAAACACACTTATTTCCAGCCAGGGCTTTCCTCTAAGCTAGTAGGGCACACAGTGCCCAAGAACAGAGATCTCATTTTAATCCAATCTCTTTTTCCACCCTTGGGAGACCATCTGTGTTATTTGTCCCAGTGCTGGACAGCCATAACCATAGCCATGTAGATTTAAAAAATGAGGCACAGCAGGTATCAGATAATAAACAAAATTGCTCCTCCCCTTCTGCTCCTCTTCCTCATTCTTTGACTCTTTGCCTGAGCACTGCTGAACATTGAGAGCCTTGTTTTTACCGCAGCTGGGGGCTGTGGAGCAGTGCAGAGGGAAAGCAGAGACAAAGGGATGGAGACTTGGAGCCAACAGTGGGTCTGTTGGTGGTAACAGCTTATTTGCAAAAAAAGATAATCACAGAATCATCATAGAATCATGGAATCCTCCTGGGATAACGAAGCAATAAAGACTCCCTAAACCAGACTTGCTGGTGGCTATCACAGACAAAGGCATGAGTGCTACACAGGGGTCTGTGATCTCAGAGGGACCCCCTCCACTCCGGCGGGGCTCAGCACACCACTCACAAAGCTTTCAGAAGCTCCTGACAGCGCCTCCATCGCTGAGGCGCCGTGATTGATGCCTGTCACACCAACCAGCATTGTCTCATTGTATCTCGCACGCTCCCCTGTCGTCGCGGATAGATATCCATCTGTCGTCTCTCATCTCACCCTGGAAGTCTTCAGGGAAAGAACCTTCGCTGTGTTCTGAGGTTCTACGTTATTTAGCACGCAGGGCTCCTGCTCCACGACCTGGGGGCTCTCAGGCAATGTGTACAGTCAAATAATTAGCAGCCGTTTGACAGCGGTAAAATCCCCCCCAAAATGAAGCTTCCTGGAAGCCTCCTAGAGCTCAGAGAACATCCCGGGTATTAAAACATTTCTACATTATCTCCGATCCAGAAAGATCCAGGTTATTGTTAACTAGAGATACAGGTTATCGACAACTAGAGCAATACTGCAGAGGTGCCAAGTGGGAGAAGGCAACTTCACAGTAAGGCAGCAACTGTGTGAACAGTTTTTCCCTGGAGTGGCCGGTACTCCTGGGTTACAGCTCAGACGGGTTCCAGAGGGCCAAATCTCATGTGATGCCAGCTTATCACAGGAGAACCGACGCTCAAAAGTCCCCCCTCAGGAATTCATGTAACGCAACCGACATACATTTCACCTGTGGAATTCCCTGCTCCATGGGATTAGCAAGGCCACAGATAAACCCATCTTGAAAATAATATTTTCTAGAGGTAATGTGAGAAAGAGGAACAGTTACAGGGGAGAGAAGAGTCAGTATTTCAGGGCCTATGGTGAGCACTAGCAGCCTGCAAGCAAAAAAGGTGAGTGCCCTGCCCGCATTTTGATACATAATCCCCAATTCCCAGCTCCCTTGCCATGAGGGTGCGCTCCCCTCAAACGCAGAGGCTGAGTGACTGAAGGATGTGGCTGAATGGGCTTTCTCCTACCTCTGGATCCTTCCAACCCACGTAGGAGGACGAGATCATACCTTAGTGCAATTGGCAGCTTTCGGCTCAAGGTCATTCAAGGTCACTAGTTCCCGGAGCAGGCTGCTCTCTTGGTAGCCTCCCTTCACTCCTCGCAGTTTGAAGTAAGCCTGAGATCGCTGGAGAATCAGTCTGAGGTTCACAGCAAACCCCGCCATGTCTATAGCAAAGGGGCGATGGGGGTCGAACACAGTTTTCCAGCCGTAGACCTTCCCGGCAGCGTTCACTTTGGGTGACTCGTAGCGCAAGCCACCGACGAAGGCCACTGGCCACACCGACACCTTTCTGGTGCTGCGCATCTGGAGGCAAGGAAAGAGAAGGGGACGGTGGGTGCACACAGGAGGATTGTCTGCCTGCCACGTCCAACTCGCAAACCGGCACCCCAGCAGAACGGCTTTCACCTCGCTCACTGTCCTGGGGGAGGCGAATGGCCCTGAACTTCAGCCCAAACCCTAGAGCTAAGAGCCTGGCTTATGTTCCCAGGCAGCCTCTTGGCTGGGACCAAGCCGCAGAGCTCATCATTCATCTGCACAAGGATGCGCATCCTGGAGCTGGAGAAGCAAAGTGCTTTGGAAAGTGGCAACTAACAACAGCAATAGCAATGGACAGCCATGGAGCCAGGCATGAGTTCAGCCCTAAAACCAAAGCTGCCAGTAATAAACATAACCGGGATTTAAGAGTGGGGGGTTTTGTCCAAAGGTCTTTAGAGCTGTGGCAACAGCCCTCCACACAGACAGCTGGGCAAATCAGGACACGGCGGAGGGGAGCACCTTGTCCAAGGCCACCTGCAAATGCAGGAATGGCGTATCGAGGAAGAAAGGTGCTGAGGAGGTTGAGCTGCAGTCTCGGCCTATGAGCCACGATAAGGCTAACAGCATCTTCAGCGTCAGGCACTGCAGCTGTAGCCCACAACCTCGGGGTCAGCTGAGAAGCACAGGTGCTCCAGAAACTCCAGCAACAGGACAGAGCTTGTAGCTGCTCCTGCTACCCAGCAGAAGGCGGCTGGATGCCTCGACTCCCTGTAGAGTCAACAGACACAGGTAGGAGCCACGAGGGGCCACCTGAGACGCCTGCACTTGCCAACGCAGATGCTTGGAATGCCAGTCTGGCTGCTCACCCCCTGCGTCCCGTCCTGCTCTGCTGGCAGGCTCAGCCTCGTGCTCTGCTCTCAGCCCAGGTTCTTAGATCAGGGATCTCTCAGAGCTAATCTCATCACTGCTAATTACTGCAAACGAGACCAGAAGAGCTCTGGCACTTGCCCTTCTGCATTATACACATGCTAACGGCAGCCCCTGCCCACAGGGAACAATAGTGTGTGTCTTCTGCATTTCACAGCACATTTCATTGGCTCCAAGTGACCTTAACTGCGCTCCGTATCAGAGAGGAGAAGGCTCTACGAGCAAAGCACGTGAGTGAACGAAGGAACCCTTTCTGCTTTATTAAAGCACGGTGCTGTCTCAAGATGCTGCCAGAGCCAGACTCAAAGGGGACTGTGGAAGAAAAGCATTCAGTCTGAATTTGCTTTCAGGTTTGAAAGTGTGTATATTGCTGTGGCTATCCAAGCTGAAGGGAGAGCCACCAGGGAAGGGAAAGGCAGCATGTATGGAGCAAATAAATAGGAGATCCTTGTTAGAAAACTGGCAGCTGGTGGGGAAGGCAGCAATCCTCCTTTCCTGTCCCTTGCTGCAAGAGGCAAAGGGAATGAGTAATTTCTGAGCTGGAAGCCAGGGGAGGTACAGTGCACCTGGCGCTGTAAGACCACTGCAAACCTGCAGACAGGGAAAGGTTCAGGGGTTCATTTAGAGCCCCTGCAGGAATGGAACAAACCACAAAGGTGGGAAAGCACATAGGAACCTTCCTCTGCTCAAGCCCGACAAGGTTGTCAGGACATGCCATCACAGCTCCTGGAGCTGCACACTGCCAGGCTGAGATCTCAGCCCACCACCTCCTTACAATGGCCTGAGAGACCACCCTGATGCTGCAAGAGGGAGCGCTCCGGAGCGGAGTGCTCCACATCTCCCGGCGGAGAGACAGCCCCTCTCCAAGGCAGCGCAGGAAGGGCTCCGCTTTTCGGAGAGGAGAAGCAAGCGGCAACAAACTCAGGCTCCTGGCGTGTGCGGCAGGCCAGAGACAACGGCACCCAGCATCTCCGAACAAGATGTTCTGCAAGAGCTACGACTGTGCTGACAGGCTCAGACGTAACGCGGAAAGGGCACTGCTGCTTCCGCTGGGGAGCTGCGCAGGGCGGGCGCCAGGCTCTTGACAGCTACAGAATTTAACCAGTGGACACTCTGGGATGAGAGCAAACGAATGCAAACAGCAAGAAAGGCAGAGAAACCCCAGGGACTCCTCAAACAAAAGCAAACATGAATTAACAGACAGCTAAGCGTGATACGCATAAGGGTGGTGGAGAAAAAAGGTGGAAAACATCAGACCAGGAGCCAGGTGGGAATATCCTCCAGGCTGGGGCATGGAAGGAGGATGGCCAAGGCTTCTTTTGCTAGGTACGTGCTTCTGCACAGGCACACGGGACAGCAGGTGGTGTTCCAACCCCGACCAGGCTCCCCACAGGGCAAGGCAGCCCATCATTAGCTTCCCTTCCAGTGAAAACTATCTGCCTCCTGATGACATGCCACGGGATAAAGCGGGGTTCCCATTACTTCACAGAATCATCTAGGTTGGAAGAGATCTTGAAAATCATCCTATTCCAACCATTAACCTCACACTGACCCTGCAGGATGCCTCTGACATTGGGAAACACACTTTGCAGGGAACTGACTAAGCCCCAGAGAAAACTTCAGGACAGCTGCAGTGGGACCACTATACAGACAAGAGCGATCCAGCGCTCGGGAGAGGATGCTCACAGCATCTTTTACACCCCCTGTGCTAATCTGCTGCGTTCAGCCAGTTGGAGACCCCCCCAAGCAGGGTCTTACCTCCTCAAAGAGCTCCAGGCTGTAGGTGTTATCATCATCGGCAAAGTAAACAATCCCAGGCTGGCTGTTATTTTTGTTAAAGGTCTCTCTCAGCCATCTCAAGGCAAGGTTCCTCTGCATGGTCCCCCGGGGAATGCGGGGATCCCTCATGTCTCCCCGCAGCTTGTAGTTGCGGGGTGTCTCCACGTTGAGGTGGGTGTAGTTAAGCCCGGTGTCCCGCAGCAGGCGGGTGATGAGAGGCGTGCGCCGCTGGGAGTCCTCCACCAGGATCCAGTGCAGGTTCGGCACATGCAGGAGGGTGTTGGCCAGGCGTGTCAGCTCTGCCTTCTGTACGGGCCGGCTGTAGGTGGGTGTAACGACGTGGATGGTGGGAAGGGTGTCTGACCACGGGGGTGGGCGGGTATAAACATATTCTGTCCTCACCACCTCCACAATGTCCCGGTCCGACAGGCAGTATTCCTTGGAGTCCAAGCCTGCAGCGAGATCACGCCGGGAGTCACCACCATCATCTGAGCAAGGGTACGAGAGAGAAGAAAAAGCTGCATGGACTCAGTCCTCCAGCACCCCCCGACTGAGCCAGCAGGCTGCTTGCCAGTAGCAGGTCACCCTCATGGTTTCAGAGGAAAGGAAACAAGCTCGGGTGGAGGCTTCAATAAATGAGTACACAGATAAATAAAGGAATCAGGGACAAACACACATGAGAAAAGAAGTTCCTGCTGTCAGAAAAGCAGCAAGGAAAAGGCCTGAGAGCCCAGGACAATGCTGCAGCAGAGTGCTCAGAGTAAGCAACTTCAAAAAGCGCCCAGAAGAGACAGGGTTGCACAGCAATTAAATCTTGATACAGAAAATAGCAACACGGCCTGACAATCTGTCATTCCTGAAGAGCTCCAGTGCTCTGGGCAGCACGCTCAGTGGGACAGGACCCACGGCTCCGTGCTGGAGCACCCACCTTGGGAGGCAGGAAACGAACTGGTGGAAAATACCACACCAGTGGAGATCCCCCAGTAGCACCAGCTGGGCAGGATACCGCAGTACCCACTGCTCTCCTAACAGGCCCGGGACGGGGCACAGAGAAGCAGGGAAAGACACGCTTCAAATCCAGAAGTGGAGAGTAGAAATTAAAGCCTGTAATTGTCGGGTTTTTCCTGCAGAGACTTTCACCTGCCTCTGACTAACCTCTCCTCAAAAAGCCCCTACCAATCTCTGAACAGAACAGCCCGTTCAGTAGCGCGGATGTGAACAGGGAACAGCATGTATAGAGGATAGACTGACCCAAACATATTAAATCCTTGCAAACAGAGGCTTGTTCACAATCAGCTCAAGGAAACAACCAACGTTCATGCAGCTGCTGCTTTTCCAGGGTGCGACTTTCATGCTTTCTTACCACTGTAGACCGGCAGGAATACCACAGCCCCCAGTCGGGAACTGGCACCTCCATTTAGGATATAAATCAGCTGCTCTCTAGTGGGCATGTAATACTTTGAGCCATAGATTTTGCAAAACCAGCTACTACCAGGAACTTCAGATGAGAAAGAACAGGAACAGACAGACATTAGATCTGGCCCAGCAGGGTATATTTTCATAGCATGTTACTCTTCCAGCAGCACAGACTTTGATACCAGCCCTGAACCAAATGATGGCCTCATCCTCCTCGGCATTGGTGATGGGGTGATGTATATCTGGGAGGGGACAGGGACAAGGTGTCCTGCACATGTTGGTATCAGGCCCTGGATAAGGCAAAGCACATCAGCATCACACAGCAGAGCTCTCTGAAAGCAGAGAACGCTGCAATTAATTCAGAAATAAATCTGAAAAATGCATTGGACACAGACACAAATGTAATTAGCCAGGACGGTGCTTGAGACAGTTTGCGAACCCCTGCAGGTCAAACCCTCAACTGTAAATCCTGGCACTGCCGTTCTGGGCTCGCTAGTGTATAGATGCAACATCTCTTTTTCAGCACCTGCTACCACAGGATCTCAGAAAAGACATTACAAGAACAAAACGATTTCTCCCAAGAGCTTTCCCTCTCACCATTCCTTTTCCACTGGGGGCTCAGAGAAGCAGAGGCACAGAAGTGTCTTACCAAGGTCACCGGTAGTCGGAGCAGAGCAGTCTCTGTGCTGTAACTTCAGTGTTTGTGGCCATCCACAGGAAACAGCTCCTAGTTTTTAGACCACTGAATCAAACTGGTATATAGCCAGTGTAGTCTTTCAAGTCCTGTTTTAGAGCCCAGCAGACCCCTCATCCTCTGAAACACCGGCCACCTGCCAGAGGGGATCAGAGTCATTTTTCCCTTAAGACCTGCCCAAAGCCTCATGGGGCCCCGTCAGTCTTCCAAGGGGAAAGGTAAAGCTGCTCGGGACCGACTCTGAACTTCTGACAATTCAAACCGCACATCAGACTGTTCGGCAAAAGGATAAGCAACTGTGGAGGGTGGGTGCAAACATTAAAATGAAAAGGGGGGAAAAATCTCCCAGAGAAAAGGACCAGAGAGGGAATGAGCTGGCCTTCGCCACAGACAAGCCTCGCCAAGCTGACCTGCCTGCCCTGGCGCTCAGCAGAAGGGCAGAACCAGGAATGAAGAGCACAGTAGGCAGCATGGCTTCTTCCAGCCCCCAAGAGTTCTCACAGCCCTTGGATATGGCTGCGAGGCCAAGAACAGGATAAAAACTAGGACCTTTCTGGCCACAGACGATCCCTCAGAACTCCCTGCATTCGTCTGATTTAGGCCAGGGCTTGCTTTAATGCTTTGTGTAACAGGTAGCATGGAAGCTGACTCTCTCATAGCATCATAACTCCACCAAACAATCAGGCCAGATGCTGGTTCTTGCCTTCAACTTCAAGTGCAAGAGCACCAGTTTGCTGCTTCCCTGAGATCACTTAAAAAACGCTCTTTGCCTCACGTCTCCCAGAGCAGCTGTCTCATGGGGCAGCTTTGTTTCCTCTGCTCCCTTTTTTTGCAGCTTTCCTGCTGGACTAACTTGTATGCAGAATGCTGCAAAGGCCAGCAGGAAGGGACTCCCTTCTTATGGATCATCAGGGAGCAAAGAAAAGCATCTTCCTTCAGTATTCTTCCGGATTTAGGCCACAAAGAGCTCTCCAAGTGCAGTAGGTGTATCCCGAGGCTTGGAGTTTGATGTCTCTGAAGAACCCCTGTGAGCACTGGGCTGTTCCTACAGCAGAAGTGGGGAGGCTTCTGCATGAGCATGGACTGGGAGCTGAGATGAGCATGGCTGCCATGGAGAAATGAAATGAGAGAGGAGATGAGGACGAGGGAGGGATGTACAGACTTGGCATGGGCTGGTTTGATTTCTCTCACCCTTGTGCACTGCAAGCAGTGGAGCAATGGTGCTCTGGTGCCAGACGGTGATTAGTAGTGTCCAGGGCAGAACTATCAGCACGATAGCCAGGATGTCTCGTCTCTTCGGCATCTCCAAGACTGACTGGACCCACAGCTCCTCATTACCTGACAGTGAAAACCCCAGAGACAGAACAGCAGAGCACATGGAGAACAGAAATAAATGGGCAAGAAGGAACAAGGACAGAGAGAGAGAACGCGAGAGAGGGAGAGAGCAGCGAAGGCGACACGACTCGTAGGTCTTACCAGTGCTTACAACCCACCCATTGCAGAAGCAGGTTTGGAGGGGCCTCGGCTGCTGGGACCAGGAGCAGGAGGGCACTTCTACAGGATGCTGCTGGAGCTGCCAGCAGGAACCTCAGGGACTCATTTGGAAGGAAACCTGCAACACAGAGCAAAGGTGAGTAGGCAGAGAAAAGCACTAGGGAGCTGCTCCGCAGAGTTCACAAATCCTCCTCAAGAAGAGCAAAGCAAACTGGGGCAGCGAGCAGCAGCAACGCGTCCCACCCCTCCAGGGAGAGAAGCCTCGTGAGTGCCCAGAGCTTTGCTTTCCTTCGCATCCCCTCGTCAAGCAAGGCCCTTGCTTCGGCCAAGCAAAAGTTGCTCAGTGCTGCGGTGTCTGAGCCATCCCCGCCGCGGGGAAGGACCCCGGTCCCCAAGCCACCTGAGCCTCCCAACACGCCGTGCTGGGCCCAAGCCCGGGGAGGAAGCAGAGACTGTAGGGACCGTGTTACTTGCCTGACACACAGCATGTGCTCTGACCCACCAGACCCTCGCCCTCCTCCAGCACAGCACTCGGGGTGACTGCGCCTCCAGTCCTGGGGAGAGTGACCCCACGTTTTGCCCATCATTGTAATCCCCTCGGCTCAGACCATCCTGCTGGAATCTTTGATGCAGGCAGTTTTAACTCAAGCTTCCAACGGCCCGTTCAGGTTCATTTCTTCCATCTCAGAGGTGTTGCGACCGGAGTATATTAAACTGCCACAATGGCTTAGTTTGATTCAATACAAGCCCATACAAGATTTAAGCAGACTGTATTTTATCCAAGTATCTTGGCAAGCAGAGTACATCACTTAGCAGGGACACGCACGGTGGACAGTTTGCAAACACGGGTAGCAGTTTAGTACCGCTGTTCCCATGTGGGGGAACGCGTTAGCCTGCTGCTAGAAGGGCTGCATTGCAGACAGGGAGAGCCCAGAGAGTACCGCAGCCGAAGGCAGGGAGCAGCCTGCTCTGGGGAAAAGCACCGATCTCCCACTGTGGTGCCCTGGCAACTATCAGCTCCCCTCCGTAAATCAGAGGGGAGCTCCTCAAGCCTGGGCTGTAGAAACGATGCTACTTCGGAAATGTTTTTCCTGAGACCCTTGGAGCTGGCTTTTTCTCGGTGCATGGGGCAGTCACGGAGAGATCCAGGTTCAAATCCCTGATTAGCCCCATTTGGATTGATCTGAATTTGCCTTGGCTGTGCCTTGACCACTGGGCTGTACAGCCAGCCCCCGGCACTGAGCCCAGCGGAAGCCTCGCAGTGCAAGGCCTCCAAGAACCGATGGGCTGGCCTTTTAAAGTGCCAGCAAGTGACATGCAAGTTGCTGGACAGAGCCTGGTTCTTCCGAATGAGCTCTTCAATCACAGAGGTATTCATTTACCAGGGAAAATGAGGGATAGGGAAAACCGCTGTCTTTAAAAGGGACATGTAAATGTCCTTCAGCAAAAGTTGCAGCCATTCCATTTTTTTTTTCCACACATACAAAACCCCAACTCATCAGCAAATTTCCAGCCAAGTAGCAAACAGTCAGTTCCCCACCCAGAGGTCTCTCATCAGGGAGGGAACTGCCACCTGCCCCACAAAAACCTGTGCCCGCATCTATGGAGCTGGGGACCCATCCTCCTCCTCCAGCACCGTGCGCAGAGGCAAAGCCTCGCTCAGCAGACTCTCATCAGAGGACGCCATCAGCTGATGTGCTGGCAAACTGCATTTAGGAAATGCACGGACCCAGAGGTAAGGAAGGAGGTTGTGGGGGATCAGGGCAAGCTGCAGCTAGTGAGGGTGATAAGAGGAAACAACAACAAATCCCTAAAGGAACCACCCAAACCATCTGGTTCTATGGAAAGCAGTTTCCTGCAGTCAAGTATGGGGAACCAGCAGGAAAAAAAAAATCTTTTCAGAGCCCAAGGATATGCTCTGTGCAGCCAGACACCCTGCAGACTTTCAAGGAAGCATCTCTCAGCAACGCAGATTTGTCCTTTTTTTTTTTTTTTTTTTTTTTTTTTTTTTTTTTTCCAGAACCGGAGAAAGCAACCTCATCCAGACAGAATAAACCAGGGAGGAAGAATTATTCCAGCAAACATCAGCCTTCTGCTGCATCCCTGTCCAGCTCTCTGAGCCAGAGAAATCCCGCTGGCCTAGCACTGCCAAAGCACACAGTGCCCTCAGGAAAGAGCATCTGGCCTCATCCTTGCTGTCCCAGCAGTTGCTGTCAGTGCCTGAACAGAGGACACTGAGCGCTGGCATCCTCTGAATCCTCCAACAAAGCCAGAACATGTCCCTTGAGCATCCCGGTAGGACAGAGCTGTACAGGGCAGCTCTGAAAAGACTGAACACCTCGCCTAGTAAAGTGCCTTCGCTGCAAACGCACCAAGGAAAGGCCTCTGCCACTGGAGAGGGGGTGGGAGGAAACGACATGCTAAAAGAGCCACTCAGAGTCAATTCACAGCGCCTGGCAAGCTGCCACAGTGGGCTGGCATGCATCAAATGCCCCGTTTGTCAAGGGCAGCTTCCTCTAAATACAGTGCTCTTACCTTAGAGACGTCTGTTCCCTGCCTCCTGCCAATTCAGGCTCAACTTGTCGGCATCCTCCCGTAGGATGGGCTGACCCTGGGCTTCCTACGACGGAGAACGGGCACCTCTGGACTGGGGTGCTACTCTGATTTCCATCCCCTCAACAGAGGGGAAAACAAGCAGGCTCCAACGATCTGTGCATTGGTCTCTTCAGCATCGATTCCTTTTAATTTGCTACAGAGCATTTAGCAGCTCCCTGGTCACTCATCTGTCACTTTGCTGCTCCAGCTGCCAAGGGCCAACACAGCCCACTCGTGCCCCAGCAGAGAGCTGTCGGTTTTGCTTTGCAGCTCTGCTCGGGCTGGCAGCAGAGAGCTCCCGGGGATGCTCTCCGCCGTGGGAAGCCTTCCTCCCCGCGTCCTGCCATTTGCACCGTCGGCAATTGCGGGCTGCAGATGTGAATCGGACACCCCGCGCGGTGGCTGCAATTAATGTTCCCTTCCCTACATACAGCGCCCAGAGGGACACGACCCCAGCGCGGATCCGAATCGCAGATGGCGATGGGTCAGCTGGGGAGAACAGGGAGGCGCAGACCTCAGCCTGACCCCCGGTTGCTGGCCCGTGCCCCCGCGCTGCCTCTTGCCGGCCCCGCCGTAGCACGCACGCCGCTCTGCGGCAAAGACGTTAATTCCTGAAGCGATTTGATGTTATTGATGACCCTGAGAAGCCTGACTGAAGGACAGCGTAAGAATTGGCTTGGGGCTGCTGTGAGCACTGTGAAATCTGGATCCAGACAAAGTATTTCAAGCGTGTTCCCTCTCCACACGCTAATGCAACGGAGGGCCCCAGTGCAGGGTGCTGCCAGTTCTCAGGGTAACAAAGCCACGCTCCCACCTCACCGTCACGTGGTAAAGCTGCCAAAGTTGAAATCCATTTTCTCCTGTGAACAACATCAGCTAGGAAATACATGATCACCTGTGACTTTATACTGCCGGTGCGAGAAGTCACAGCTTCACAGCCCAAGACTCACCTCGCATTCAAAAAATCCCTTGCCGCCAAAGCCGGATGATGCTTTTTGTGGGTGTCTATGGCAGAAACGAGGCTAGTGAAATATTAGTCTGGGAAAATGATGCTCCGCTCTACCCCTGCCCCATCATAATACCACTCTCCTTTTCCCACTGAAAATGGTTCAAAACCAAACCTGGCTTTGTTCAGAATGCCAATTTTAGGCTTCTTCTATCTCCTCCTCCACAGGGAAAAGAAGGAGAAGGAACAAATTGAAACATGAATTAATTACAAAGATCAAACTCCCTTTTCCACCACTACAGAAAGTATACTTCCTTTTTTTTTTTTTTCAGTTGTGAAAAATCATGCAAAAGACACAAAGCACCAGCTGAAATGGAAAACGATTCGGGGGTTAAAATATTTCTAAACCAAAGGTGTTTTGCATAGTTTGTTGACGCTCCTTGGCAGAAATATATTTTGACATGCTGCAAGAGGAAGGGCTGTGCCGCACGGTGACAGAGATTTCACATCCTCCGGCAGAGGGCAATGGTGTCAAGGCATGACAATATTAAAAGGGCACTCATCTAATAAAAAAGCTCTAATAAATCCTGGAGCCATGTGTTAGTAACATGCTGGATTATTAAATGCTGAAGGTTCTTTTTTTAAATCAAGTTAATTGGCGTCGGCTCTGACACTTACCATAGGAAACACTGATTTGATCTGCAATCTGGTTTATAGTTGGTTTTACCTTCTTTCTTCCTTTGGGGCTGAGCAGCCCCAGCGTCATTACTCCTCGGGTTTCCCACATTGAACAGAAGTGATTTAGAACATGTTAAACTAAAGAACTGCTTTAATGGAATTCGTATATATACATAAATCACTGGAGTAGAGATACTGTCTAGATAGAAGAAACACACACACACACAAAAACCCAAACAAACATACCAAGCACTTACTTGTATTACAGCCAGGAAATAACAACGTCAAATCCTGCAACAAAAGCTCTACACAGAAAATAAACGCTCATGCGTCAGGATAAAGAATATTCTCACTAATCCCCTTTCCCCCTGGGCAAGGTATCCCCTAAACCTAAAGGCAGGGCTTCTGTCACCTTTGCCATAGCGACGGGTTCTGAGCCCTGCTGGGAAATGGTGGAGTGGCGGCACAAGGCAGAGCTGGTCGCTCTGCAGAGCCCACCCCGCCGCACTGAGCAGCTGGATCACAACCCCAGCGACCCCCCGAACCCCTCGGAACCCGCACCCCCATTCACACGCCCGAGCCGGTCTTGCACAGAAAACGATCTGCGGGCATGTGAGCGCGGCAGCGTCACGCCCATTTTTCAGATGAGGAAACTGAGGCACAGGGCAGTTACGGCTCTCCCCGGCAATCACACCGCACAGCAGATGCCGGGGACAAGGGCTCAGTCATTAGGCTACCACTGGCCGCGTGTGGGCACACCAGTGGCAGGCCCGGGGTGCTCCGCAGGAGCCCTGCTCCTCTCCACGCCGCATGCCAGGGGACAGGCATGACAAGCCTCTGTCTAAGATTTTGGTGTTTGGCAGAAAAGGCTTGTAAAGCACAGGCTAAAAATAAAGGTA